TTACAAATCCCTATTGTTTATAATTTTTGAAATCCCTCTTTTTTGGTGTCTTCTCTTTGTTTAGGCGAGTTAAGGCGAGATAAGGCGAGATAAGGAAATTGCACATAATCGCAAGCGGCGAGTTAGGGCGAGTTAAGGCGAGTTAAGGCGAGTTAAGGCGAGTTTAGGTCCCAGAGTAGGCCTACGACCACATCAGCCCTAAGACCCAAAAACGAAAATCAACTCGAAAAGGCTATCCTGATCCTACTGATCTTACATGTGTAAGGAACATCAAGATCTTCAATTATCAATGAATCTGATCAAGTTCTTTATTTTCTTCAAAACCCCACCTAAAGTAAAAAAGGAAGACCGCCTCTAAATCCCCTTCAAATCGCTGGAAGCTCGCATGAAACTCGACCGAAGCAAAAGCAAGATACAACAAGACGAATAGACACAATTCACATGTTGCCAGGGTCCCTGCCTCCAGTTCCGTAAAAAGGACTGTAAGATATATCTTTGGAGCCTCTATTCTCACCAATTTTAGCACAGTCTATCTTTATGTTAAAAAAAGACCCTTTTACAAAGGCACAAACACAATTTACATGTTGTCACACATATATCAAGTTAGTGCTTTTTAGAAGCGGGTGTTCGTTTTTTTCGGTGTTTTATTTTTATTATTATTAGAAGACGAAGACCCGCAAAACGCTCGTAGCGGGCGGCGAGGAAAGGAGAAATGGCTGTCATTCAGATTCATTGACAAATGGAGATCTTACACGTATCATGTCGTTTAGAGCTGAGTCCAAGTGACTTTGACTTTGACTTTCGGTGGGGTTTTGTAGACAATCGGAAAGCCTGGTCAAATTCATTAACCAATACTACGATATTTTTTTTTCTTGTACGTCTCAGGTCGAGATAGCCATTTCGAGATTTTTTCAGGACCGGATTTTGAGGAGAGTTACCCGAACATCTGGTCCCTGCTGTTCTGGAGACAAATCCGTACTCTTTTGGTTAGGTCATGTGAAGTTATATTATCACGCAAATCCAATTTGACATGTTTGTAATAATTTACTCGACGCGATGGTACAAATGCCTTATGGTAACTGTTTTTCATTGTTAAAAAAGAATTCTCAAACGTTGAAAGAAGAAAGAACCTTACAACAGCCCATGGTGAACAACGAAAAGATAATGTTGTCAGAAAGGGCTACTCTTTTGCGTGACATTCGTTTTGGAATAAGGTTTTTGGTGAAAAACGTCGTGAGTTTTTCTTTTACTCTTGATTGGTTTCTTTTTCTTCATTTCTTTTCTTTTACAGACGAGAAAAAGACGTAAGCAATTGGCATTATCAGCAGTATAAATGAATGAACGAGTTACGGTAAGCAATCAAAAACTGCAAGGACGCACATCTCCATTGATCATTTTGTTTTGTCAGTCTGTTTTGTTGACCTTTTCGGTGAAAAATTGAGTAAGATAGGGAGCTCCTGGGATTACATCGCGTTATTCTAAAGCAAGAGTAACAACAGTTAGTAAGTCTACCCTATTCTCTTCAACTTTGTAATAAGTTTCCCTGTGTATCTGAATCAAATTTTATGTCAATTTACTGGACTACGCATCAACGCGATCGACGACCGTTATCGTTCGGTTAGATCTAAGATTAATAAAATGATGTGTAGCGTGCTTGTATGATCGTTAAATATAATGGAAGGTCATTAAAGTACTTCAAGGCGCTCTTTGCTGACATTTTCAATCAGAAGAGAAAAAAGATGCATTATTTGCAAACTGAAGGATTGGCTGTGACCTCTTGCGTGACATCCGCTCAGCAATATGCATTGAATTTTAGGTCAAAATAGCCCGAACGCTTTTCAAACTGGATACGCTAATTTTTGCGGGCCAAAAACGACAGTTGGAGATAATGACCTACGAGGATAAAGCTTTCACCTGATGTACAATATGACACGTAAATTTAAATACTAGGATTTTTATAGGCCTTTAAAGTTGGCCTTTACTTCACCTCAACCCAAAAGATTGAAAGTGGGTTATTTCAACGGGTTTTTATGTTGTCTTAAACTTGACAAAATTACATGAAGTTTACATTTTTTCAAAGACAAAGGGTTCTTTTACCAATATTCAAAATAGCAAACCGGGAATTCAACGCGTTGTCGCGTACGGAGTTAGCGAAGTTGCAGAATTTTTCATTGTTTTTCCGGGGGGTCGGGGGCCGCCTCGGAATAATTTGAACTTTTGGATTTTCGGAAAAAGCAAAGCGCGATGAAACTTTTTATTTCCATTTTTGAAAATAGTTCACCAAAAGGGTCTTTTAGGTAGGATAAAATAAATTACGAAATTTTGCAACTGTCGGCGGATTCTCGATATTTACAGTCAGGGCCTCTTAAGATCCATTTAATTGCGCATTATTCAAATGCTAGAAGTTTATGAAAGGGCGTACCGGCTCTACGTTGTCACGTACAAAATATTTCAAATGGTTCAGAGTTGAGACAAGCTGTTATTATCGACTAGTACTTCAACTGAACTTCATCGTGACTGTGGAATTACTGTACGATCAAGCGGAAAGTGATTTTGTCCAATGTCAAACAAAAATGGGGGCCTTTGCCTCCAGTATCTGCAGTGAATTAAGACAAATTGAACTTAATTGAAATAGAATTGTTCATCAAAATGCTTTATGGAGTCTGGTCTTGTCTACAACCCGACCATGAAACAAACAAATGTCCGCGCCGGATGCAAGTCAGCCCTTCAGCCAGGAACGATGACAGGTCGCCGATCTGAAACATTTGAAGACCTCTTGTGTATCTTTTCCCTTCCGAGGATAAGTACGGGATAAGTAAGGGATTTTCCTTATATTAAAGGGAAGATTGACTGATCGATTGGAATCAACTAAAGCTCTGTCGATTTTAAATGGACCTAAGTCTTTCTTTGTTGCCAGTCATTTGATCGCCTGAGGTCAATGATTTTTTAAAAAAAAATACGGGTCATACAGGATAAGTCTAAGCCAACGCGTGTCGCTATGATATGGCTGAGAGTTAAGGTGAATAGAACTAGGTTGTGTACGGCAGCCCACTTCGCAAGAAATGAAATACTGAACGTATCAGAAAAGTTGAGAAAGCGGACTTTTCCAGTACAGCCTTTATGCATGTACGGTTTGTCATTTATATATACCGCTTTATAAACAGAAGTTTTACAAATGTCACCCGCTGTCTCCTTCATATCGGAGGAAAGCAAAAAATTACCATAGCCAGTATCTGTGACAAAAATTAAATCTTGTAAAACTTTTCGTTAATCGTCAAGAGATATAAAAGGTCGCCCAAGATTGCGCGCTGTGAGGTTACGCATAATTTTAGCTTTTCAAATAGCGCTAATTTATTACACCCAGGATTTTAGGGTGTACGAGGGGACACGTGACCAGCCATTGCCAGGGCCCCACCCATTTTTTGAGGGAAAAGCCCTGGGGACGAGGTTGCTCTCTCTCCAGTCTTCTTGTGACTAAACAATGCAACTAATGTTTGAGATACCTCGATCGATCGCATGCATGTACTCTCTTCTATCCACATGAGGTACACTGATAAGGTCTAAATCTACCTGTATTGCCTTTTGATAGTTTTGCTTCCGCCCAAAGAGTCACAATAGATATTTACCTGTATATCATTCAAACCGAGAGTAATATCTCTTTAATTTCTTCATTGACATACTCAGTGCTTTAGATACCCCAGAGTCAACGCAAAATTTGAATTTTAAATCTGCGCTTACAAAGTAACTTTCTATTGTCTAAAATAGCAAGGAAAGTAAATGCCGGCAAAATAGACAGGCTGAGAATGATTGTCATAGAAACGAATAATGAGGTAGGCCGATCCAACCGTCATACCACCCCGTTACAAATCTTGTAAATGCTCGGTGGGAACGACCGTCTCTCGAAGGGCGATTCATTCGAAAAAGCAAGCTTTCCGAGCGAGGCATGAAGTGCCGAATAAAACTATAGACAAGGAAGGAAACTGGTACCACGTGATATCATTCGATGTGAAACTCAGTAACTAGTTACGGAAGTAAACGAGACCAGAAACATCGCCGTTAATCTCGAAATTCCCTCTACAGCCACTTCTTCACGAATCCCTACCCACACACACATACACACACAAAGAAAAACATTCCTCCCTAGAGGGTGTTTTACCGTCCCTACCCAGGATTTCTCTGTCTAGTAACACAAGTGACAGTTATTTGAAATCAGTGCGCGCCTAAAGCTGGTTTCGGTGCCGTTTAGCAGTTTATATTTCATTGGCCACCTTGAGAAAAGTTTCTTGGAGCGCATCCTATAAAGGTCTGAGACGGGAGAAAGTTAATACAATTCGCAGACTCTGCATCGTCCAATATTGTATTGTATTCTCGTTTCATTTGGCTAAACGGATCAATCACCCTGATCCGGGCTGAGACAGAAATGTACAATATTGTTGTGGGGCTACGAAAGATAACTTAAGATTTGGCAAGATTAGCATTATGTCAATGAGGAACTCGATTGGCCTCCACACTCAAATATTGAGAAAGAATTGCATTGGATTGAATTTCTGCTTGCTTGGATTATTGCCTTTAGCACATGACGAGTATGAAAATCTATATAAAACAACTGCAGTCGCTCATGATTGTTTTTATTGATTGTTTTTTTACTTTCAGCATTGATAAGGCGATTTTTATTCTCTCTAAATACCACGTTCATTCCTTAACCTATATAAATGCGTGTTGACTAGACTTATGCAATTCCAATAGTGATTCTTTTACAAGCGCTTATAACTACATGTAAGTCTATAATTCAATGTATTCTCTTAGGCTGGAGTGCCCTTATCTGCCGCCTTCAGGTCTATCCACCGCTTGTATGCACCGTCTATCTTCCGACCTTAACGTGGTCCTCGTCTCCATGGTCGTCGTGTCCGTGGCCGTCGTCCCCACCATCGTCGTCTCCATGGTCTTCGTTTCGGTGGTTTCTGTGGTTTCCAAGGATACTGTGGTTTCCATGGTTTCTGTGGTTTCCATGGTTTCCATGGTTTCTGTGGTTTCCAAGGTTTCCATGGTTTCCATGGTTTCCATGTTTTCCGTGCATTACCTACTTGGGGAATACATAAAATTGTTGCCCATTCATTGCACAGGGGGAGGGATAAGTAAAATTTATAGGGGTGCACTCTTTTCATCGCCCTTGAAATTGTTTACATGAAACAGTAGTTGTAAGAATCCAAAGTGAGTCGAGATGTAATAACTATGAGAGCTGAGACCAATTACTGTTATACACATGAGGACACAGCACAAAGATCTGAAAATCACTCATTCAATTCGCGCACCATTCATTTCATCCAACCCATAAATAGATGTTTCCCAATTAAAGTTTAAGATTTCAATGGAAAAAAAAAAAAACAGTTTTGAACCCACAATATTATCTTTCCCTTTACGTTTTCTCACGGGCTGGTTGTTCTGTTAAACTGAAATCAATCCAAAAGGATCAAAACCCTCTACAAGCTAAAAGTCCGTTTTCATTGCGTCTGACTCACCTATTTCAAGTAACTCATCTTCTCGTTCTTCTATTAAGAAAATGAAAGATAGATAAGATCAACCCCACAGTCGTTTAGTGTGCAAACAAAGAAGAAGAAGGAGAAGGAGAAGAGGAAGAAGAAAAGTTAAACTGTTTCAATTGTTTTCTGTCCAAATAGAGAGAGAGAAAAAAAAAGAAGAAAGGGGCCCCAGGAAGAAAAGGCTAAAAAAGAAAAGGAATAAGAGCGAGAAGGGAAAACGACACAGAAATAACAAACAAAGGGGAAGCAACCTTTTTTCTGGGAGAGGCGAGAAAAGAGCAATGTGAGAGCAGAAGTCATTTGATCTTTCTATATAAGTGGCCTCTTGCTCACAGCGTAAGAGAAATGAAATTTGCATGAGGGTTTGGAAGTTAGTACATACAGATTTTTTAATTTAGATAAATATCCAGTTCGATTTATTAAATTATGCAATTTCATCGCCATTGCTAGCAAAGGCTCTGAGCTTCACCGTTGATTGAATTTTAGCACTGTGCTAAATGTGCCTAAGATATCCCCTCCTTTGCACTAATCTGTGGTTCGCCGTTAATCAGAAAATTACGTTATCAGCACTAAATGACACGGTAGTAATATGTAACTTAGCGATTAATAATGGTAATCAGAACTGAGTGGAGTGCAATTTGGTCTGAAATCACAAGTATGATTTCAGACCAAAATTGCACGACACGAAGTTCAATTACCACTTTATTACATCCATTTTGAAATCGCAGAATTTAGTCAGTACTAATATTTTATTGATCGAATAGCCGGTTTGTTAAAAAGCCGAAACAAAAAAGCTTTTACATCTTATTTTGTATTCGAAACAAAAATGATGCGATATAGAACAAAAATGGTGCGATTTAAAACAGAAATGATACGATTTAGAACATGAATGACGCGATTTGGAACAGATGCGATTTAGAGCAAAAAAATGGTGCGATTTATGAATAAATCACACTGCTGAGAGCCAATGAGATTGCACGGATAGCCAGTGATTTCAAAGTGGATGTAGTAAAGGGTAAAATCTGCGTCATTGGAATCGCTATACCCTGCAATGAAAAAAGGCAACCGGAAATTGTGACTGACCAAAATATTAATAGTATCAATTAATTATTGAGTAAGAATAGCCTTGAAGTCATTGAGAAAATCAGGATGATGTGATCCGGAATAAAGTTCAAATAATCCGTGACGAGGAACGGTTAGTTTTAAGAAACACAGACACGGATAAGCTACTGACCAGCGAAAGCGTATAAATCTGTCTAAGCGTAAGTTGATTGCACAAGCGCCATCGCTGATTAACTTACCACTTCCTTCACCTACGGTTAAGGGATTCCCAGCTTCATCTTCTTGATCGTAATCGTTTGCCTCTGGAGAGGAAAAAGATGAAAGGAATAAAAAGAAAGTAACAAAATGAAAAGGAATCAAGGTAAATGGGGGGGTCGGGAAGGAGTAATACATCTTTAGAAAATGAAATACAGAAGTCACATCGAAGATCAGGACGAAGACGCCAAGACATGTTTTTTTTTTTGTTTTTTTTTTTTTTTCTGTTTATTAACTTTGAGACTGATTAATAGATTTCGAAACGACGAGCGTCGATTCAAGGGAAACAAATTCCTAACCTTGTTATATCGGGATAACCCTGTCATACAGTTCCAATAATCAGTTGTTTTATTTCCTTTTAGAGAAAATCAGGGCATGAGAAATAGCTTAAATATTGGCCAGCAATATCGAATAGAATATGAACAATGGCGTGCAGTTCAATCAAACACAACCGATTTGACAATATTGCTTTGTCAGAGTAATCTGCCTGAAAAACCCTTACACTTCATCCCTACATCGTGATCATGGCCGATAAACCTCGGGCCTACACTCGTGCAAAATTTGTCGTAGCATAACAGTTAATAGCATGAACGTCATCACTATAACTAACTCTTACCACTTCCGTCATCGTCGTCTAAAGAATTCCCAGCTTTTTCTTAATAAACGTCCGCGTCTGAAAGAAAAAGTACAAGCGTAGATTGGAGCAAAATAGTTACAATATCCCTTTCGTAAATGGCAAATACAGAATTTAAATACAGATTCTACAGAATCAGGATGAACGTAACAGAAGGTCAATGGAATACTTGTTTTGCTTTTCTGTTGGTGAGCTCTAAAGCTGGCTAAGAGAGTTTTTGAAATATTGAGCATGTAATTGTATTTCTGTCAAATTTTTCTGAGCATGCAGGCGTGTAAGTTAGTTATACGAACTTCATCATCTAAATAACAAACCATCTTCTAATCCTTCGTCAAAAGAGTTATCATGTTCATCTGCTTCGCCGTAAGCGCTTGCACCTGTGGTAAGAAACGGAGAGCATAAAGTGTAAGCGAAAGGCGGTAATTTCCTTTTTAGTTGGAAAATGGTAAATAAAAAAGGGACCAGTCAATAAATAAAAGTAAATAAAAGTCAGGATCAGTCCTCCCTGAAGTTCACTGAAAACAATTGCACCTTTTTTTTTTTTTTTTTTTTTTTTTGCAAATCTTATTAAACTTCGAAAGTGGAACAACACTAATAACGATAATGATTAGAGGCCCATGATTCCGTACATAAAAATCAAACTTTTCAGTCGGAAATCCAGGCTTTCCGTTTCGACCAATTAATTCCCTCTTTTGCCACGAAAACAACAACAAACGAATAAAACTAGAGATGCAGATTCTATCATTCCCTTTTTATTACCTAGGCATGAAAAACTTATCTGGTTAGCCTTTTACTATGTGATACAAAAATATCTTCCGTCATTTCAAATAGAACGAAATGTATTTGAACCAAAGCCTTTTCATATCTTTGTTAGTTTTTCCCAAAATTTGTCACATTGGTCCTTGCAACCTTGAACTATAAGCAATTTCAAGCTCATTGTTCATATGAACCTTTCTCAGTCGCAAACAGTGAAATATTTAAAAAAAAAACTGTAGTGGGAAATTTCAAGGACGAGCAACTCTTAGCTAAAACATGCTTACCTCCATCGATGTTAAATTCATCTTCGAAAGTGCCCGTTCAGGGTTGTTCAGCTTCGCAAATATTGACCAAGTAGCAGATGTCGCCCTTGGCGTTGTCTTCCTGCTGTTCTTGCCATGTTTTTAGCTATTATTTCGCCTAGTTCTTACTCTTGAATCGAGTGAAATGTCCGCCATTTTTGTTTTCACAACCAAAACAACTCAAGTCTTCTCGGTTAACAGTACATTAACCTTCATTAATCGCAAAATTCTTCCAGATTTGGTCATCAGTAGCTGGTTATGGTGAATTGTGGGTGTGCTTTTAGCCAATCATAATCGGGGAAATATTTTGAATGAATAATAATGATATTTATTGAATCAATTGATTTTACTACTTGCTCTTTAGTAAATGTATTTAGTAAAATTGTGTTTACCGCGCAAGGTTTAATTGCTGCTCTTTATTTGTAGAAATCAAAGGCAGCACTCTCGAAGTCTATATGTGATAGTCACCTATCGATAACGATAATTGAAAATTTGATAGTCAGCAATTACAACAAATCATTTCATGCACGATTTTTATCGATTTCCGACATAGTAGTTTATCTTGTTTCGATAATGAATGGATACCATCGATTAGCGATTTTCTTGACTTAACAAGCCGGCAGAATAGTAAGAAATATTTGAAATAAGTAAGATTAAAGTTATTCTCCCAGGCTGGCGTTTTTTTACTGGAATCGTATTTCCTCCCTTGGTGACAAGGGAGGGAATGCAAGTACCCTAAAAACGTCTACGTGGGAGGTAGGAAGAAAGTATAATACATTTTCAGGGGAAATTCAATGGCCTTTTCGTGCATCTCTTTAATTATAACGGTCATTCTAAAATACTCACCTTTTTCAAAAACAGATTCAGCTGTAGAAAGACAGATTAAGATTTTAATAATAACATTCAGTGGTAACATTGAAACTGGCAGTAAAACAAATAGTTATTTAAATATTATAAATCAATAAAAAATCAAATAACTTACATTTTACCCAATTTTCGGTGGTAGCTGCAAAAACTAAAACTGCTAAAAGGAAAAGTTTTGAACCCATGACCAAAGCCCCATGGGTAGCAGTTCTGATAGAATTGAAATCCACGGTCCCGTTTTATGGAGTTTGGAGAACGTGGACGGATACCAAGCTGTCAATAAGAAGGAGTAGGTCAGGAAAATAAACAGAGAGAAACCATATTCATTGATTGAAAAATAGAAACTAGGAGATATCATCTTTCAATTAAAATACTTATGCTGAAACGCGATACTACTAATTAAAATCAATATCGTTATGAGGGCATACCTTGTCACACGCATCTTTTAATACTTGAATATTAAAAGAAGATCAGCATCACAAATAGAGAGCAGGTGTATCCGTTACTGCTTTTTGCAGAGATAAATGCCCATTTTCTCTTTCTTTTCCTTTTTTCTTTTGTTTTCTTTTTTTCTTTCCTGAATGCGGTGAGGTGTAAGAAACCTTATAGATGTACAATTTGCTGTTTCGTCTTTCTATACAATTTACGAGCCTCTGCCACATGCCGCTTATTGAATGTTTTTCAACTTAGACGGACATACATTTTTTTTTTTTCTGATATTGTAAAGAGAGGGCATATTCAAGCGATGCTGTGTTCGCTGAGCACGTTTTTCACACCTCTTGGCCGTTTTTTTTATGATTTTTTGGTTTGCTTTCGTACTTTAGAAGCATTCTGGGAAAGTCGTTTTCGGTTGATTATACTTGCCACGTTGCAATGGTTTCAACTTTTGCCCTGTGACGAAAAATGTTTTTGAAATAAATGAAAAAAAAAATATCGGTTCTGTATTATCTTGTCAATTCAAATATATCGCTTTTCAGTTTTCGATCTCAGAGAGTAATTAAAGTAACACTTGAAAAGAACGTCTTATTACGACAGACCAAGAGTATAATGTTTCAGCTACAATCATTATAGGTTACAGATCAACAAATTACGTAAAATTCACCGCCTAAATTGACTTTAAACTTCCTTTAAAATAGCAACCACATAGAAAAGTAACTTCATTAATGCGATAGAACCTTTTTTTTTTTCTTTTGCAAAAGTACAAGGTATATTGTACGTATGCCCTGGTGACACATTCCAATAAGTCAATGCAAGAATCAAACATTCCTTAAATCTGATCTTAAATAAAGTAACATATGATTCTAAATTAAGTCTTTCAGATTATAGCTTAATATTGGAGACTGCCAAGGATAGTAACATGATAATTATCACCGCTTATCGCTTACCTTATTAGCTTCTCGAACAATCTCGCTTCGTTTTGGATTCAGTGTAGGTGAAACCACGAAGGAAGAATGTTTTACCAGCGACTACAAGAAAGGTACGACTGGATAAAAATTATGTTTTACTAGTTCTTGTTCTTTGAAACCAGATTAAGATCTATCAAGAAAGGGGAAGTAAGAATGGCATAAAAAAAGAACGAATAACCAATTGAAAGAATAAAAAAATAAATATCGGAATCAACTAACCGCAGTTTCTTGATATTGACAATAGCTTAAGTGTGGTTATATTATTATATCAAATGGCACAAGATTAGACTGAGAATCGGCTCTTCTGTTAGGGAAGGGTGAAACAAAAGGAGAAAAGTTGAAGAAAACGTGAGTAAGACACGTTAATGACCAGATAATAAATCACAATAACAAATCATTTATGCCATTTAAAATGTTCGGACCATTCAACATGGAAGAAGCTGGAAATCACCGATGAACCTTTTAACACGACATGGACTTTTGGCCCATGAAAGATCACTTAGAGTTAGGAGCTCAAAAAAGGAGAAGGCAAGCAAACATATGCGTTTGTTTTGTTTTCCTTTATTTGCAATTTTTAATGTTGGTATTATTTTTTCTATTCCATTTTCACCTCATTGCAATGATGTTCACAGAAAAAAGAAAAGAAAAACAGGCAACTGGAAAAATTCAAATGGAAATAAAATAAGAAACGTTTATGGTTACCCATTTACTTTTCTTTTTTGTTTTTGTTTTGGTTTTTTAGATATTATACACAGGGTCCAGGGGAGATGTGTTTGTCGTTAGAACATCAAAACCCGTCGAAAACATCTGAAATAATGGGTTATTTTGATCGCGTTGACGATCGCGTTACAGTTTCCTTACACATTCTGTATACCGCAAACCAAGAGACTGAGGGCTCGCAAGATCGGCTTACAGCACTAATATCCTTGTTCTGGGCCCCAACGTACTCAACGAATTACCGGCATTTTGAGTTTCCCTTCGATATGATTGGCAAATGGACAATAGCACTTTTAACAGTCCAGTCCTGGCAGGTACTCAAATCCTGATACACACACGGGGGGCCCAGAACTAGGATTTTGCCGCTGTTTTTCAGACGGACTTAACCCAGAGTTTAGTTCCATATATGGCACAGGCAAATAATATTAAGGGTGTTGGTTTTGTATTACATTAGCAGAGACAAAATCTGAGTTAGAAGCAACCAAAAGGGTAAATTTTCTCTTAGCCTTTAAATGAATTATTTTACAATATAGGGGACAAAAAATCAATGGTTCCTGCATTTCTTTTTCCAAAAAAAAACCCTAAAAGTACAGTATTTCAATGCATCTCTGTAAAATACTGTAAGCTGGTTCGTTTTTTATATTGAAGTTCCTTTTTTTCATAATTTGACAACAAACATTTAAGTAATTAATTTAAAACATCTAAAATCACTTATCGATATTGCACATCATGGAAATGACGATGCCCATTGTATGTGTTAAATGTATGTCTTGGCAGTTGCTCTGCCAATGTTTGTCCTCACACGTTTGGCAAAGAGGTTGTTTTTCCAATTGAATTCAAAATATAAAGTTGGTAGTTCTCGCTGTATATATTGCTCCTTTCCTGTCTCAGTCAAACAAAACACTTCCAAATACTTGCTTCGCTAGTGAACTGTACTCTCTTCCAATGGTCTTTTTGGAAACTTTCCAGTCGGGTTGATTTTATGAGTCCATTTATGCACCAGCTCAAACAACTAAACTTAGCTTCAACCAACCTCGCTCTGTTCCACGCGGCAGCATTATGCGTCATGTTTAAACCAATGGCAGTACCAAGTGTAAACGTTTCCATTATTATCTCACAAATTTCCATTTAAAAGGAGATCTTTAAACGAAAACGCAACGTACAATTGACAACAACAAGAGCGCATTTCTATCCGCCATTTTGTTTCTCCCCGAATTCCACAGTCGCAAGCTAATTTCGATTTTTTCAGGGTCCCGCCCTCTCCCCGCCTCCAGACCAGTTAGTCACGTGACCAAAACACACTACTTTCAGGCGGCCCGAACTTGGGCGAAAAAGGTGTATGATTTCGCCTTTCTACGTTCTTCATCAATAATGGTCCATTACATCAAATCGTTTGGCAGGGAGCAATCACGACAACATAAACAAAGCCTCGATGTAACGAGACGACTGTACAAGCTAAGCTAAGTTTTCAAGTTTATAAGAGTGATTGTGTTTCTGTCAATGATAGATGGATATAATTCGACGGTAAATACAGATCAGAGGTTGTGTACTGGAGAAATAACTTATCATTGGCTGCTCGTAAAATCTGGTTCGGTAATTTACATGGACATTTTTTTCAATAGACCTTTAGGCTTATTAACTTGTTTGCCCTACTTACCAGAAAGTTTAGATTAATGTTGTGGCGGCAATAATTGTTTTTCAATGTTGGACTCTCTCAAAGTAGTAGACAAGAGACTTTAAACTTTTTAAGTTATATTTTGTTCAGGGTGCAAAGAAAGTCAGCTTTACAGCTTGCTATTCCGGCAAGCTGTACCTAGCATGCATTAACCTGAAAGCCATTTTGACTACCCCCAATTTTTTTTATGAATGGGATTTATTACAGTTCTTCTGTAATCTGAATTCCCCAAAAAACTTTACTTGCCAGCCAGGCGAGTTAAAAACACAGTTTACCAGTCCAATCATAAAATCCAGTACCTGAGTGCTATTACCTGGACACTACTCTGTCTACTCTCTTTGCACGCTGTTTAATATAATTTCACTAGAACTTGAACCTTTGAATGCCTTTTTAACAACACTTTTACTCAGAAATATGAAACAAACCTCCCCGATGAAATTAATAAAATACCTGTACAAGTGACTGGATAAAGTTGTGTCCCATATGTTGTCATTCTTGTGTAAACAATACAGGAATGATTATTCTTGTATTGCTTACAACTAATTATTATGTGTATTAAATTCCCTAAAGTAATAGAATGTATAAATTAGAGGGCTGGAGAAGAAATCAGCTGGTCTTAAGTCACTGTTGGAGTTTTTTTGTGGGGGTTAGGAAGATGGGGTGGGTCTGTGGCTAATATTATTGAACATGGGTTATTACACACTTTATGAGAAATCATGCATTCTGGAAATAGAAAACTAAAAAAGTAATAACTACGAGACAATTTGAACCTCTTTAAGATTTTAATCATTTAAAGTGACTTAAGGCGACCTAAGGCGACTTAAGGCGACTTTGGGCGACTTTAGGCGACTTAAGGTCCCAGAGTAGGCCTACTAGCAGCTTACTCCGATCTTCATCTGTAGTTTTCTGTTTTGTGTACGAATCGCCCTGTGATGATGTTTACTATCAATGTTCTTCTTGGCAAGCGAAATTTTTAATTTGGCCGTTTTCTTACTTGACCACCATTGAATTCTGTTGTTGATATATTATAGCGAAAGCAAGTGAGCAAGAATTGAGCTTGAAATTTGGCGAGCTACAAGACGTACTCTCCCCAGGACACCGCATCCACGACCGCCGTAGTAGAGGTCGCCGTAGCGATTTGGTTAAACTCCCTAATAAACGCAACGAAACGTTTTCCTATCAATTTGTGAAACAATCTGTTTGAAAACAACGCGGTAACAAATAAAAAATGTAAATCTACTTTGCCCAGCCAGTCAGTATCTGAATAAAATGGTACAAAAATAACCTCACAATCGCTATATTTCATTTTAGCGTTTTCTCTTGTAACAACGAGGAACACATAAACAAAAGTGCCAGCCTGAGTATCTGCAGGAAAAACACTTCTTGACTTTATGATAAGACTGACATCCATGAAAACCGCGTGAATAACCTAGGAAGTAATAAAATTTTATATATCTGTCAACTGTCAGTAACTACATGTAACAGGGGCAATAAGGCTGTTAACCTCGGAAACTACCAAGTTGAAATGACTATGTAAACTCAGTGAAAACGTTTGAACTGCACCAGGAATCAGGTAGACGGGGATTTTGTGGATGTGCTACCTCCAAATCATTATTTATTTATTTTATTTACATTCTGCCGATTGATATAATCATGTCTCGTCTCAATCGACTGCTTTGTTGTTTTTGCTTTTTTTGTTTTTTTGTTTTTTATTTTTTGTCATTTTTTCTCTATTTGCTTATTTTTGTTTTTGCTTTTTCTTTTCTTTTTTTCTTTTTTTTCCCCATGTATTTGAAGCAAATAACAAATTTACATTATGATAAAGGTTACAGATGGCAGCTTACCTGTTGAACTGTCTCTTTGACCTATAAAGGCAAAGGCAAATGGAACATAAATAATACTGAAATGACAAAATTAGCAAATGTCGACCGGGCAGACTGTCAATTTTTAACTCAACTGATGGATGACCGACAGTCTAATCTGTATCAAGTCTCACCTCTGAATTTGTTTCTTAGGTTTGATAAAGCGACCAGCTTTTTTTTTCAGGGGATTGAGACTAAAGAAGACGAAAGAAGAAAGTTGTTGATTTTTTGGCCTGTATAGCGCTAAATGGTTTTTTCAAGAACCTTCCATTGGGGTTAAAAAAAACACGGGATGTCAATAAAGGCAAGCAAATGTAAAATGTGCCAGGTTTGTCCAAGATTTACTCTTTAGTTTTGTTGTTGTTGTTGTTTACATCATTAATATTATCATTATTATTATTATTATCATTATTATTATTATTATTATTATATTTGCGACATATTTGCAACGAGCAAATTTGTACAAATTCATTTTGTTTCGTCTAGTGTCAAATGATTTATTTGAGATCTAATTCACTTACCGCTGGTTGTAGGTTGCATGTGCATGTAGTTTTAGATCAAGACTAAATGTATTTTAGCTCATTCTTTTGTCATCTACAAGGTACACGTTAAGATGAGTGGAAAGCGGTAAATGAATTTACTGCTATATAAAAGTTTGGCGTTCTCCGTTTTCAGTTTTATAAAACGGGTTCCAATGCATTCACGTTTTTTTTTTTTTTTTTTTTTTTTTTTACTGTTATTAGTCGTTGTCGTTGCTGTTATTATTATTTTTTTGTTATTATTATTATCATCATCATTATTATTATTATTATTATCATTATTATTATTATTATTAGCCGTTAGCTTTTGCAGTGTAACCTCACACCTTCACCCTGTTTTTATTGATCCTCCATTTCTGATTTTGATCTTACTTACATGTTTCGCCGCGTTGTTCAGCATAATATGAATCAATACAGGTGCAATAACGAAATTTTTTGCCACAGTTTTTGTAGATGAAGCATATGTACTTCTTGTGATTTAAACAGAGTGGTTGAGGACCTAGAAATCAGGAAACATAAATATGTCATTAGGTTTATCACATGAGCCATGCAGAGGCCATGAACTACTGAAATATTTGCCTTTCAATTTCAGCCACACTCTAAGCTGAGCAATCAATGATTTTGGGACGATTATTTATTATTAGAAGGCAAATACATTATACTTACAGCTGTATGTTTACTTAAACAATTAGGAGGGAGCCTGATAACTTTTAAACCGGCTCGAGAAGGTTCTTTAGGTTGTGTTGTGTTTGTTTTATGTAGATTGATACGCAATAAGTCACTATTTAAAGGCACATTTCATATTTGAGAGGATTTATTTCATGATTTTTGTAGACCTCTAGACTTTTAGAATTCATTCAATTCTACACGTGAATTCGGCCTCGCGGGAAGGGCAGGACTGACGTTAATCGTCTTAATCTAAGGGGTCTAAAGGGTAATTTACAAACACACTCACTTGGTGTTGGGCAACTCAAAAGGGCGCTACAATTGTCCTTCTGAATGTCAGAACCTAAGCACTTGTTGCCGCTGAAATCTGGCTTCGGGTTATCACACAACCGTTTCCTCTCCCTCGTACCCTGACCGCACGTCTTGTTGCAAGCGCTCCAAGAGGACCATGAGCCCCACATTCCGTTTACTACGAAGGGAAAAATCAAAGGAAGAAAGGAAAAAAAAGTGAGTATTTCTGCCTTTTCTTCCGGAAATTAATTTCTGATGCAAGGTAATCAAAGAAAGTCTTGGATTCAAGACTAGGTTCCACGCTGTGAATTCCAGTTTCCAAGTACTGAAATTTGGGTCCCTTGTTAGTGGAATATGGGTTCTGGATTATAATTTTAACAGGTTTCTGGATTCCCTAGGCTGAGCTCTGAATTCCAAGCTGTACGATTCCGTATTCCAGGAGAAAACGTTTACTGGATTCTGGAATCTGCATAGCTTTGCATGGAATGACATTCAAAGACTATTTAAAAGACTAGAAATTAAAAGAAAATTCTAGTTAAATGGGTCAAATTTCAAATATAATCTCGACAAAAAAAATATATGGAAGTTTTAGAGGCATTGTGGAAGACAGCACGTACTTAGACAAGCGGGAAGACCGCTACAGTTTTGCGTCTCATGTCCAATACCAGCGCAGAATGTTCCATTAAAGGCTGGTTCTGGATGATTGCACAGACGTGTTCTTTTCCTTGTACCGTGCTCACATGTTTTACTACATTGGCTCCAAGAACCCCATGGGCTCCACATTCCGTCAACTGAATAAAAAAAATAATAATAATAACATCAATTATAAAATCATGGTTACTGAATTGCTCAAAACTCAATTACTCTTCGCGGTTGACGACAGTTGCTAAAGCATCCACCATTGGTCGAAATCAATAGATATTTACAATGTTCGTTACATTTCAATATTACTGCTTTTCAAATAAATTTATCTTTTTTTATCTCCAACAATTTCATATCATTGGCACCTGGACAACCTTGATAACTGCACAGTCTATCTCTTTGTCTGAATGCACCCTCACATTCTCTTCCTCCGTTAGCTGGTGCAGGGTTATTGCATTCGCGAGTCCTCTGTTGTTCGCCACCTCCACATGTCCGAGTACATGTACTCCACTGGCTCCATTCACCCCAATTTCCATCTACAGCGGCTAGAGGAAATAATACAAATATTTTAAGAGACATACCCAGCCATACATACCCAATCCTGAGGTAGTTATTAGGGGCATGACAGAATGACAAATACGTTCTTTTCCACGTGTATCCCTGCTGAAAACACACCCCCCTAACGATCTAGAGACTGGAATTGAAGAAAATTTTGTTCGAGAAGACGAAAATGGTATCAAAGCGCTTATTTAGCGTAGTAAAAGAGGATTTATTACTGGAGGAAAGAGTGGATTTTCATACATTTTCTTCTAGAAAATATGTCGCAAAAATGCCAAAATAATTTATTATATAGGTTGGCAAATTTGGTATTTACCATGTTTGCCCCAGATTTACTCCTCAGTTTTTGCAAATTTGAGCAAATCCATTATTCTTGGTATTATTCGTGCGCGTGGCCTGTGGTTAAGAAGTGGCTGCGTAATTTAAAGACAGCTAGATGTCAATAGTTAAAGTTTTCTTTGGGATAATTTGATTAGATAATACCGCTATCATTCTTATCTTTTTATACTTGCTAGTTTAAGTTTTACCTGAGCAGTTTCGCTGATTACATAGTCTATGGAATATATTTGGTCCTGCACAATCTTTCCCTCCGTGAGAGGGTGCAGGATTGTTGCATTCGCGGGTCCTTTGTTGGGCGCCATATCCGCATGTCCGAGTACATGTACTCCACTGGCTCCATTCACCCCAATTTCCATCTACAGCGGCTAGAGGAAATAATACAAATATTTTAAGAGACATAACCAGCCATACATACCCAATCCTGTGGTAGTTATTAGGGGCATGAAATAATCATGATAATAATAATAATAATAATAATAATAATAATAATAATAATAATAATTACAATTCCTTCCGTTAAAAACCCTTAGTTTTGATTAGAAAAAAAAGTTCATGTCATTAAACAAAAATTATTCAGATTAAGAACATTTCATTTCGATTAAAACAATTCATTTCGATTAAAAAACAGAAGAAAGTATTTTCAAGGTCAATTGCATTCTTACTAAGATAATCACTAGAAAAATAAATAATAATAATAATACTAACAATAATAATAACAATAACAAAATTTCAGCCACACCATTGTACCGTAGAGATTTGTATGGGGAGAGGAGGGTAATATATATAAAGGTGTGACGGGGGAATAGGGCAGACAAGAACTTGGAGTGAGGGTACCTGACATCACTTCATTTTGCTACTACGTATAACAAAAAATAAAGGTCTCTTCTTGGCCCAGTCACCGTACAATCTGCTTAAATGCTTTTCATTTTGTTGTTGTTGCTGTTATTGTTGTTTTGAGAAGATCTTGTTGTACGCGAAAATATGTGAGGTGAAGACGCTTGATATACATCATGTGCCTTATACCATAAGACACTTATACCCGGACCCTGGGAAATGAAATCAATTGAAAATAATAATTGCAGTTCTCAGCTAATTGAATAAACTACCGGAGCCGATTTCATACAAGTGGTGTCTAACATATTTTAAAATCATACAGCTTGAGTGTTTTTTTTTTTTTTTGTTTTGTTTTGTTTTGTTTTTTTTTCCATGGAAGTTAGATAACACCTTTTTTTTTCACTCTCATAAATCATTAAAAAAATAAATAAAACTCGCGAAGTGGATGGCACCCCCACTAACATACGCACCTGTAGTTGGAGTAATTATTATCGTTAGTATGGTAATAGAGGTGGGTAAAAGGAATGAGAAACTGCTGCTGATGCTATGAAGTGAAATATTTAGAGAAAAGGATGAATTTCCGCAGTTATTTCAGAGAGCAGTAATATATGAGCATCTTACAGGCAGCATGGTTGAAATGATGCAAGGGAAATAAGTCACATTTCCCTTTTTGTTTTAATGCTCCAAAAAGGCTTCTGGGTTCAAATGTTGTATGTAATACAATTTTAGGCCTAATTGACTTTATTCGCGACCGCTGCGTCTGTGTTCCCCCCTCCTCCCCTTCTCGTTTCTGTGTGAGACAATTTGTCTGTAACAGGAAATATGTCTCGCCCAAATCCATACAATGAAACGTCGAGTGGAGAGAAAAGAAGAGAAGAGGAAAGGAGCCCATTCGTCCAAAATTAACCAACAAAATTAACCAAAACAGTTTTCTCGTAGTCAGCAAATAACCTACATCAAAGACTACGAAACAGTTCTTCAGAGAATGTGACTTTAAAAGATCAGATTTTCTGTTCCGAAGTCATCTACTTACAAGAGATTAGAGTAATGCATGGCCAAGGCTTCGAAATTTGAAGACTGGTGCTTCAGATCCTCACATACAATATAACAACAAGCGAAATAACAAGGCCATCTTTATAGCTCGCCAACAGTATAAAACAATTGTGATTAACAAATAAATCGCTTTCTCGGTAGTCATAAAAAAGAGGAAGCACGTAGCTTCTCTGAGTTAGACTTTAAGACTTTAAGACGTTAGACTAAACAGAACCAGTTTTCTTTCAGTTACCTTTAGTATTGTTCAATTCATCTTGACAGGAAAATGCGAGGCAACCAGTAAAAAGAATAACACTGAACCAGCCACTCAAATTCATGGTCAAGGAAGCCCTAAACGCGTTATTTTTGAATAAAAGTGATGTCTTAAGAGATCTTTTATTGGTACTTTTGACCACTCTAATATCACAAAAACCGTAATATAAAGCCAATATACTCTTTTGATCATTCCCCGGCAAATCACGTCAGGGAAAAATAAATTTCAAGGGACATGTTCAAGTGCATTTTTCTTTCCTGGCTTTTAACACTTCGTGAGAAAGCTCTAAAATTAGAGAAAAAGGTAATGATCCGGAAAAATGACCCTTTTGTGTAGTTCGCTCCGGTCCTCATCGTTGAAGTTTGCCGGAGTTTTTTTTTCTTTCTTTTGGCCTTTTCAAGGCAAATCGCCCTTTATCTTGCCGTTACAGTGTATTCATTGTTTATTAATTAAAGTCTGTGTAATTTTCAATACAACAACAGAAATACAGTCACACACACATATCAAATAATGAATTGGTTTTCCTTTTTGCGGCGTCATGGGATGAAAAAAAAGCGCGTCCCTTGAGCCTCTTAAATACAGTCGCATATAATGTATATTGAAACGTATGTAATTATAACACACAGTATCCATAGGCCCCCAATGTCGCCGCAATTAACCTTGCACGTCTTTTAACAGAACTACTTTTTTTTACGCTAGAAACGAATGTGCCATTACTTGTTCCACTTTTTGTATGACGATGCTTTTGGCGATTTTACATTTATAGGAGCAATGAGTTAACAACAATCCTTCAAACACTAAGAAGCCTTGAGCAAAATTGATCTTCATAATTAAAGCAGGGGAGTGGACGATCGTTTGATATTTTACCATATTTAGTTTTTTTTCCCTGTAATTATCTTCACTAACAGGGAAATACCTCTTTGAAAGTGCTGCAATTATCTTCAGGAGTTGGTACATGTTTTTCAAGTTACCATAACTTCCTTCTCAAAACTAGAGAGTTCGGGCGACTTTCACGAAAATAAAGACTATTAGGTGAAAACAAGAGCGTTGCGAAGTGTGCTTCTACGGCGCGATATTTCCCCTTTCATTTTATCCAGCGTAGATGCAGTGGAGTTTTACAATTTGTGAATGGATATTGGCCAACAGCCACCAGAACTCAAAGTTAGCGAATCTTATATTGAACTGATTATAGTAGCTTTTTAAACCAAACGAATGAATTCATTTCAAAAATATCAGATTTCAATATCACTACGGCTTACCACTGCTAAATGTCATGTTTGACTTTGCTGAATAAGGATTTTTTTTTTGTTGAGGCAAATTTCAAAGGTTAAAATTGCAACTCCAATAGTCGAGAAATAAAAACCTCAAATGTGACTGATTTATTTATTTGTCTCCTATTTATTTTTCTCTTTATTTGTCTAACATAATTATAGTTTTTAATGAGAAACATTTTTTCCGCGTTTTATTGAATGCGTTGTCAGAACACACAAGCCGTTTTGTTTTCAGTTTTTTTTTTCCATTTCTTATTTATTTGATTTTATTCATTTTATTGAGCATGACATTTTGCAAATGAAAAATAGATTTCGTTTGATGTCCCATGGAAAACAATATAATGACCATTCACATACAGTGAATATGAGGCGAGATAATTAGACGTCATAATTAGACGTCATTTTATTTTATTTGACTTTCCTTTTTTTATTGTTTAAGTAAATCAAGAAGTTGGTAAGTTGCTAGATGTAGTGAGGAGTCAGGACATAAGATTGTGATTTAGTGAACGTTTTTTGTTTATATTGTTTAAGTAAATGCTGAGAAGTTGGTAAGTTGATATAGATGTACGGACTGAGAGGAGTCAGGACATGATTGTGATGTAACGAACGTTTTTTATTGTTCTAACTTGTTTCAGATAAAAATATATATATGACTGTCTGAATGACTGTTTGTCTGTCTGTTTTCTTCAATCAATAGAATTTTTCTTTTCATTATCAGCAGCAACAACAACAATAACTAACGTATGTTTGGCAGTTTTCCACACACATGCATGGCTGCTAATTTCACTTGATGTGTTTTCAAAAATCAGGTAAATTAATATGGCAGTGAAACCTACGATACGTAAGAATCATTTGTACGTTCTTTTTTTTTTTCCTTTTACTAACATAGGTGGTTTTCATACAATCTCGGGAGACACGGCGATGACGTAACGTGAAAACCACCTGTGGGTCGAGGTTGTTTCCCAAGGCGCGTTTTATGGTTTTCCCGCAAGTATAACGTGTCTAACTTTGTTTTACCAAATACTTCACAAAAGAAAAAGGTCACTGTAGACAAACGAAAGGATCAATATTTTGATATTTTGTAATGATATTACATCGACTTGCGGTTCGTTTACCTTAGTATTTGCCCCTCTTTACATGTTCTTATTGTTGTTGTTGTTAATTTTTTTGAAAGTTCCTCCGTTTCTAAATGACTTAAATCCCTTAGTCAAGTCTTCACAGCTAGCGCGCGTTAGCAAATTTGGAGGAAGTTTGAAAGAAATTTGCCGACATAGGTACAATTGACAGTACTTGTACCCAATGATAATTGCCTTGTGAAGACCTTCCGAAATTATATTAATCCTATTCACACGGGGGAGCTTTATTTCTAGATTTAATCACTGAATTATTACTCATCCTTAATTTAGCATCAATTTATCAAAATTTTGTCTAACTTTTAACGTCATCCAGGCTATTCAGTAACTGATGTGTAATAATAATGATTACAACCAATTAGCCGAGCGAGAGCAAAGGCGGCAACGTTATAGAGCAGACGAGATTTGAGAGGTATTGCGCAAAAAATTGCGAAAAAATTCTCAACTGATGTGTGAGGAAAGTTAACAAAGAGCTTACATGAAAACCAATCAGAGCGTGAGATTTGGTGTCTGACTTCATTAAGGGCCTGTTTACATGGAGGTGGGGGACCCCAGGTAGGTGAGGTAACCCGCTTAGGTGCGTTCACCCGCCTGTCCATACAATCTCTCATTTTAATGTGATCACATTTACATGTTAGGTGGGGTAACCCGCCACATGTTACCTCACCTACCTGGGGTCCCCAACCTTCATGTAAACAGGCCCTAAGCGCGGTAGTGGTTAAGTGGTTAATCCGTTCACCGTACCCCTTCTTGTTTTGTCCAACGTTCTTGTGCAGAATAAAATGAAGAAATTTCAATACTTATCATTCAAGACAGTTCATGAAAATAGCATAGGAAAGAAATAAAACAAATGTTTAAAGGTTTCAAAATATTTAGACAGCAAACGGATATAGCTGTCATATTTGCCTGTCGGAATTTTCTGTTATTTGTAAACTTCAAAACGATACAAAATTCCAGCTAGAAAATATGACGGTCATAGGCGTTTATTGTAAATAAATCCACCCTTAACTGATAAATAAACTTATCGAAGCCAGCGACCTGATCTGTCACTGATAGGTCATAGGGTAAAAAGCCTTTAGACTAAGTGGTTAAACTTGAGTTAGTAATATAATTTTCTTCTATGAATCTTGAAAATATCAATATATATTCAGTCCGTTCCTTTGCAATATTGATACGCTGGCCTGATTATTTTAGCATACGACCAAACGATGTTCGACTACTACTTGAAAATATCGACTTATGTGACTTGTTTAAACATAAGTTAAACTGAGTAGGTAAAGAAAGGAAAGCGACTCGACCAAATCGATTGGATTGGTGTCTTTCGTTTTTATAATTTGAAGAATAGTTATTCGTCCACGAAATTCAACTGCAGTCTCGTGAACTTCCACCAGTTAAAGTTTTTAGAAATAGAAAGGAGTGGTGCATGATATTAGACGCAAAACTGAAATCAAGGAACTATATGATCGTTACGTCTCGGAAAAGGGCAATGAAAAATATTGTTATAGTAAAAACATTTCATGAAGATAAGATTTAAAAGTTTTCAATTTAACCTCTTACCGTCTTTGAAGTAGACGGCTGGGATAGGTGAAGGACTACTCTGGAGTGCTCAAATTCCGTCTTTTATAGACAGGCGACTTGGTGTTAGGAGTTAAAAGAACATTTCTTAAATATTCATTCATCTTGTGCATGTTTCTGGAGGGTGCCTTAAAACTGCAAGGGAACATCAAGGAAGATGGTTTTATGTATAATATAAATATTTCGACAAAGCAGTGTTAGCTGATTCTGGAAAACGCGCAAGTGCAAATTGTGTCCGCTAACTGGTTAGGGCATCGCGATGTTTCGGTGGCGACGAATGTAGGCCATTTCCTAGTTTTATAAACTCTTATTTTGAAAACGAAGCTAATTGCAAAACCTTTCATGTGAAACTGAGTTTTATTTTCATGAGAATAGAAAATCGTTTTCATATCAATAAATTTACACTTAGGTTTGATTTCATACAGAAGCTTCAGGCAACTCGGGGATGACCTATTAGATTATGAACACGATCATGAATTCACGTGACCATCGTGATATTTTGTCCATCTTTAATCCACTTTAAAATGAAATCAACGCATCTTACAGATAACACCAATTTACCTATAATCTATAACTAAACAATTCGCGACACCTGTCATCGTCAATCTGTTTATTCTGGTACTGGACCTGAAATAAAAAGGATGCCAAACAATGTAAAGAGAATAACTGCATCGTCAGACATAAGTCTCCATATTAGGAGTTCTAGAAAGTACTTTTTAGATTTCCGAGTGACGCAAATGCTAACGAATTCCTCTTTAAAGAGTACTCGATACTATTATTATTTGCCTCACTTGAGTAGAAGAAGGTTCGCGAGAGGTTTTAGGCAATGGCTAGTTTGTATTTTTAAGACATGCACATGGTCATTAAAAATGTGCGACGCTGCCTGCTTGAGACAATACAACTCATTAATCCAAAAATTTCAGACTTTACACGATATTTCTTTTCGATATTTTTTTGGTGGGGTGGGGAAGGGTAGGGTTACGCAGGAGAAGGGGATAGATGTGTCCACTATGCAAAAAGGGGTCATTGTATAGAAGTGTCTCAACACTTTTGTCTCTCATTGTGGCTAGAACTTACTGAAAGGGTATGGAAACAACAACAGTGGCTTACAATGATTAATGTGTGTTTTATTTCCTTACGTCTTTAGTAGGCAGGCGCTGGACCTACGACAACAGATGGCAGGTTCAGTAAAGAAAAACAATAATAACCAATAATCATTTGATTTCCCAACCGCAATTCCATGTGACTGAATGGTAATTAAAGTACCCGCTAATCTCAAGGTTTCTATTACACATGCGCATCACTTATAAAATGTTGACAGCATTCCCTAAGACTTCCACTTGGAATAAATGGAATGCGCTGAACCCGAACTGGTCACAAGCGTTTTATTCTTTTATCTTTCGTTATCTGACAACAAGCGTTTTAATCTTAAAAAATTACGCAAAGCACAGCTTTTGAGCAAGAGTGTTTCCATCGATCTCATTCTCTCTTCCGAGCCTTTGGTTATTACAAAGATATAATAGTAGAACCCATTATTCCCGCTGGTTATAGGTTATAGTTATTGTCCATTAATTACATTGATTTATTTTATTTGTTTGTGTTCCTTATTTATTGATCTATTTGACAAGACTATACTTACAATCTTTGCCGACACAACGTTCGACCTGCTCATTGGTTCCATCACACCCGCTTCCGCCGTACTGGGGAGAGGGTTCGGTGCATGATCTGCTGCGTTTTTTGTAGCTCAAACCACATGTTTTTGTGCAAGGGCTCCAAGCTCCCCAGTCGGACCAATTGCCATTGACTGAAATGCGAAAGAGTAAAACAGAAAGGATAAAATTTGGTAAACAGTAAAGTAAACCGGTTATAAACACTTGTAAATCTGCCTTTTCTCAGCTTTATAACATTGGGAGAATTAGGAAGTATCTTACAACGGACACCTCTAAGACATTAGTACATGCCATGATTACAAGTAGAATTGATTACTGTAACAGTTTGCTATGTGGACTCCCGGACAACTCTTTAAACAAACTTCAGCGAGTTCAAAACGCAGCAGCCCGGCTTATAACTGGAACAGCAAAGTTTTCTCACATAACTCCGGTGCTCCGCTCCCTTCACTGGCTTCCCATAAAACAAAGAGTACAATTTAAAATGTTAATTTTAATTTTTAAAGCTATTAATGGCCTAGCTCCTAATTATATTAGTAATTTAGTTAACATTTTATGCCTTAGCAAATATTTGCTTCGTCGAAACAATGAGATACTATTGGAACCATACAATGGTAAAACCAAGAAAACGCTAGGTGACAGGGCGTTTGCCGTGGAAACCCCGGGGCTTTTTAATTCACTCCCTCGTGAAATCAGACACGAGACATGTTTTAACACTTTTAAAACTAAGGTTAAGACTTTTTTTTGTTTCGCATGGCTTTCTGTTCATTTTATCTAATTTAATTGGTCATTATCTTATTTTTAATACGGTGTAATTTAGTTTTTTATGATGTATTTTTAGTTTTTATATGATGTATATAGTTTTCTTATTGCTTTTGTTTATAGTTTTTAGGTATCTTAGATGTAACGCGCATTTGATCATATTCGAATGTTAATTTGCGCGTTATAAGCAATAATAATAATAATAATTATATAATGAATCGCGGATTTTTATACCGCTCTTAAGGTGCGCAAGTGCAGAATGAGCAGTTTTCCATCATCTTAAATAAAACATCAGGCCACTTTTATAAGAAAGAAACAACTGACAACTTACAAACGACAACAAAATGATAATTTGTTTAGAAATATTTGAGGAGTATTGGAAGAATGGACTGATAAATATAGAATTGTTTACTCCTAATTTTTACTGGTACTTTCCTATTGGTAAATTGTGAGAGAAGGAAGAAGCGGAAAAAAAAGTTGAAATTAGTAGCAAACCAGCGAGTTTTTATAAAACCAAACGTACTTGGACAAGGGTAGTAAGCATGGCATCTCCGTTTTTGGTATCCAACACCCAAACAATTCTTGCCGTCGTAAGCTGGTTTTGGGTTATCGCAGAGTCGTCTCCTCTCTCGTGTTCCATATCCGCACGTTGTACTACAAGGGCTCCAAGAATTCCATGAACCCCACATACCATCCACTGTCAAAGAAAAATAGCTTTTATTCAAAATTTGCAGCTGGTGCGTTGCATTCAGATATTGATGAGTTCTTCCGGAAATAGCTTTATCCAAGCGTGGCGGAAAAAGGCAGAATATTAATCAAACTCACCTGGACATGGAACCTTTTCATTGCAGGCTTCAATTTCGCTGGATTCCCCTTGGCATTTCTTCCCACCATACTTTGGAGCTGGTGAGTCGCATTTACGACTTCTGGAGTGTTTTCCTTGTTTGCATGTCTTACTGCAGGTACTCCATTCACTCCACTCACTCCAGTTACCATCCACTAATCAAGCAATAGAAATGTTAAACTGTCATTTGTAGGAAATTCCCTTAAGGGAAAAAAAATAACATGGCCAAAACAAAACAACAACAAAATAAGAACAAAACAAACAAACCGCTCGCGGGATGGTATTCATGCGGTAACCATACCTGGGCAATTTTCCTTGTTGCATAGACGTCTTTGTCTAAATGGACCCTCGCAGGGCTTTCCTCCGTAAGCAGGGGCAGGACTGTTACATTGGCGAACCCTCGCATGTTCCCCTCCTCCGCATGATTTACTGCATTTACTCCACGCACCCCACTCTCCCCAATTGCCGTCCACTGAAATAAAAAGATACCAAGTAACTCTCACTTAACCCTCGGACGCACACGCAAATTCATACCCCCCCCGTATATTTTATGGATGATGGCGCTGCTCGAGGAAGGTGACGTCACCAACAATGGTGGCTATCTTGGATTTTACCAAGAATTACAAATCAGGTTAAAATCGCGAGAAATAGTAATTTTTTGTGCTTTACGTGAAAAATAACACATACATAATCACTTTGAATGATTTTAGCCCCAATATTTACTTTTATTGTTGAAAGAAGTTAAAAAAAATTGTATTTTCACCCCAAAAAGGCTTGACCACCTGCTACTTATGGCGTCATCTCTCGTAACCATAGCAACTGACCATAACTGAACTCAAAATGTCTCCAAATGTGCGTAAGGGATGATCGAACAGCTACTGAAAACTTCAGGTGCCGATGTTTTATCCCCTTGGAAAAAACTCAAAAAAACCTTTGAGGGGTTGCATCAACCCCCTCTTGTACGTCCGAGGGTTAAGCTGTCATAAGTTTCCAACACACTGAGAACAATGTCTCAGGCTTGCCTAATCCAAGGGTTTCCTTAATAGTCAATAAACCCCAATAGTTTAAAACAATGACAGTCCATATACTATTGGCAGTCAACCCAATTAACATTGTTCTTTCTTTTATCACCTGGGCAATCGACATTTTCATTGCAAGCTTGGTCTTGGCTTGAGATTCCATCGCATTTCTTGCCACCATACAGTGGAGCTGGCGAGTTACATTCTCGTTTCCTCGATCGTTTTCCCTGTTTGCAAGTCTTGGTACAAGTACTCCATTCACTCCATTCTCCCCAGTTTCCGTCGACTGAAGAAAAATATCAAAACACTTATAGTATTCTACAAAGTCTAATAGGAAGTTCGCTTTAATAAACTAATGAATACATGATAGATACCATTTGGTTGACGTTTGCACCGCAATTTGCGGACCGGAGTCTCTGCGCTGTACATAATAATATGTAACCGATCAAAAAGGAGAAAAATCCCTCGTTTTACATGCAGAAAAACTACTTCATACTCTTGAAATACCTGGACCAGGAACTTTTTCGTTGCAAACTTAGTATTCATTTGGGTCTCCTTGGCATTTCTTCCTTTCAAAAAATTACTACAGTGTTGTGTTTAATCTTAAATATTGTTCTTTAAGAGCGGCTTTCCGTAAATATAGACCCACGGTCGGCACAAGTTCAAAATTTGATTTCGCTCATATTTGGCTCATCGATAACCCTTAATGAGTAATGAAACATGCTGTAGTTAGTTTTCCCAAATAACGTGTTCTTTTGTTAAAATTCGAGAAAACTCATTTTGCCCGTTCGGAGCTCAAAATCCACTTCCGGTAAAACGAAATTTTACACAAATTCCATTGACTCGTACGTCAAACCACAACGATTTGGCAGCCTTTGAAAAACACGAATAGTTTTTATGACCCTTTCTTTCTTATAAGTCGATAAATTTGTGAAAGCTGTAATAATTTTGTGGCCAAAAAGGTTTGTTAAAAATAGGCCCTATTGACCATTTCTACCGTTCAAAATTATAGGGATAAAAAAATGCAAATTTTTACAGTGCGCTATAACTTAAAATTCCGAAAATTGACTTTCTACTGCTTAACTAGGCCCCAATCTATCAGAAAATTGAAACAAATCTCTGGGCAAACGATTTTAAGTGGCCCGCAAGACGTTGAGTTTTGCAAAAAAACGCGCGACATTGCAGTGGTTAAAAATAGCGTGACACGGCCCGTCACGCCAGTGTTGCCTATAGATATGCTTTAAACAATTTAGTTAAAGGCAGATTGAAAGCCAATTCGAAATTAAATCGTTCAGTAAACCTATGATTCTCATTGATTGCAGCATTTTCTTCAGATACAACATATAGGGTCCCTGGGATAGCGTCACACACTTTCATGTTCAGTTTCAGACTGGCGATTTCCCTCAAAAAATGGTATATAAACAGAACAAAACTGATTACTGAATGAATTTTTGCATTGAGAGATATTTACGAATTAAATCATCGCCAATCAATGCCATTTGGTTTATAAAAACTAATTTCCGTGGAGCAATTTTAAAGAATAAAAATATTTTAGACTAAGTATTGGTGCAATAGTTCTTTTCGAAGTTTTTACCCTTGCGGGCTCTCAAAACTGAAAAAAAAGCTAGGTGGATGCCAAAGAGGAGCCTATATACTTGTATGACAACGTGTATGAATCATGAAGCTACTGCATGACTATATACATGACCCATTCAAACAAACTAAGAGGACACTTTGGTGCTTTGCCAGGCTTACCATTAACTCAGTTTCGGGTTGCTTTCGACGTTTCAGTGGAAAATTCCTGAAACAAACGGAACGTCTGAAAAGGCATTCGCCTATTTTCCTGGTCTTCCTGGTTGGAAACTTTCAAGCGGAAGTTCGGATTTCATGTCTTCAAAGCTTTTTTGAATATCAGTTTCAGGCTTTCGGGGCCTTCAGTAAACGAAACTGACTTAGGCAAATGGTAAACGCGATTACCGAACGGAATCAAAATTAATCAGTCCTGAATTCTCCTCACCATTTGCCCAAACAGTGGAGCGGCCGGTTTACCCATGTAAATAGTAGATAAGCCTTGTGTCCAAAAGCCTGCGATACAGCTTCCCCTCTTCGCTGTCTGCCGCTAGGAACATTTCGTCAAAGAGCGGTGAGAGGCGAGTGTATCCTGGAATATGCGTCATATATCTTAAGTACCTTGAGGGGCCTTGTTAAGTGCATAGTAGATCGTAGCAAGGGCAGAACGTTGCAATATCTCTAATTACTTATTAAGAGACACAGAAAACTCGCTATTCCTCTACCCCAGAAAAATGTTAAGAAAAATAGTTTTTCTGGAGCAGTTCTTTGGAATAGCCTTCCTATATATTGACCAGCAGCAGGGGGCCGGCTGCAAACAATTCTTCTGGAGATCTACACGGTACTTACGTAAAGCAGACTAAGGCTTTCAGTCTTATTCGGTTTGTGACAAAGACAAAGGTAAGGTTTTGGAGGCCCGCTTGGGCGTCTACGTTTCATGGACTAAGGCTACGGAGGATGAGGAAAGTTTCCTTTTTTTTTCGGAAAAAGGGGAGGCGGGGCAGAGTGAGTGAGACTGGGGAGAGGATCGAAAAATAAGTCTAAAAAATACGGTAGAAACTGACAAAGAAAAAATATTAGAAAGAAAACAAGAAAGAAAGAAAAAAAATTCGCAGTCTAAAAGCAATTGAAAAGTTAGTACTACCAAATCCGTTCCTGCTGATCAATAACAAAGCGCCAAAAGTGCTCGGCGCTCAAGTTGAATACCGTATTTATTCGAATAAGCGCCCAACCTCAAATTAGCGCTCACCTCGAATAAGCGCCCCTCCTAAAGGCAGAACAGTTAATAAGCGCCCACCACCATCCCACTCCCTCGTTCACAGACTTAAATAAGAGATAATAATACACCCTCCCGAAGACGGAGTTTTCTTCAGAGCATTTTACAGAAACCTTGCTTTGTTACATGTCCGCTTTTTGCAATTACCATTTATTGCTTTGTTGCAAAATAAACATACTACACTTGCTGAGAATGGCGAAATTTAATAAGCGCCCAGCCTCGAATAAGCGCCCACTCTCAAGGTCCAAAAATTTAATAAGCGCCCAGGGCGGTTAATCGAATAAATACATTATATACCGTAAAAATTTGTAAATGAAGGACGTAGGTAACCTGTAACAGGCCTTCAGATAGTTGGGAAAACGCAAAGAAAAGTGGGCTAGAAAAAATGGCGAAGGGGCGGGGTTAGGGATTGAGGGCGAAAGGTCCTCCTAGTCTCTCCCTCTTACTCTTTTCCACGTTTGTTTTCCTCCATTCCCCATTTTGCGCCACTGTCCTCTATCCACTATCCACTGTCCACTACGCCTGGAACAGGCTAGTTCATAGTGGGCCAGAGAGTTGTTTTCCAATGGCGATGCAAGGGAAGATGTCCATTTAGGCGCATTTGCCATTTTTAAACGCTCATGATCACGCTGCAACTATTCCTGCTTTAGCATTAGTAAAACGCCGCTTTTTTCTCTATTTTCCGTTTTGCTGTAGAGGAAAGTTTTTGGTGATTTGTTTTTGATGATGGCGTTTCATCTTCGATCGAAACGAGTTAAAACGTTGTCTGAAACGTTCGTTACAATGTATCTTTATAAGCGTGATAGTAATACATCCAAACGTACATTTATACTTATACATAATTACTTGAAAGAGAAAACTCGCAAGAAAAAAACATTGTTCGAATTAGTTAATATTGGTTATCCCTGTCTTAAATTTAACGTATTTATGCCTTTTGACGGATGCTTAAATTAATGAAACACACCACTGTACTTGTTCAAAGTTTGTTTTCGTTCGGCTCGGTCGTCGACGTCTTGCCGACGTCGCTCAAAAAAGCCGACTTTTGAGCAATTCTACACTATATATTGCATCCAAACAAAATGACTCTTCTAAATAAGATAAGGTTATTGAAAGATGTAATATAGATTTTATGCTGGAATTCGGCATGTGATCAGTGTTGAATAGAATGTTGAAAGTGAATCTGTCGTTAACACCGCTGGCGTGACGGGCCGTGTCACGCTATTTTTAACGACTGGAATGTCGCGATTTTTCGCAAAATTAGGGTTGAACTGGGCGTCTTGCGGGCTACTTAAAATCGTTTGCCCAGAGATTTGTTTCGATTTTCTGATATATTGGGGCCTAGTTAAACCGTAGAAAGTCAATTTGCGAAATTCTAAGTTATAGCGCATTGTAAAAATTCACATTATTTTAACCCTATAATTTTGAACCGGTGAAATTGTCAATAGGGCTTATTTTTAACAATACCTTTTTCGCCACAAACTTATTACAGCTTTCACCAATTTGTCGTCTTATGCGAAAGAAAGGGTCATAAAAACTATTCGTTTTCTTCAAAGGCTGCCAAATCTTTGTAGTTTGACATACGAGTCAATGAACTTTGTGTAAAATTTCGTTTTACCGGAAGTGGATTTTGAGCTCCGAACGGGCAAAATGAGTTTTCTCGAATTTTAACAAAAGAATACGTTATTTGGGAAAAATAACTACAGCATGTTTCATTACTCATTAAGGGTTATCGATGAGCCAAAAATGAGCGAAATTCGAATTTTGAACTTGTGCCACAAAAAGACGATTTTGGTCGATATTTACAGACAGTCGCTCTTAATAGTTGTCGCAAAGCTATAATTTTGTCCGTTACACGTAATTTTGTCTTTAACGTTGTTTCCTTACGAGTTAGAGCACAATATACTTGTATTTGATATTTGTGATAATAAAAGAATGGACATGATTGTCCTTTAAGGCCCAAAACAACAAATCCTGAAAAAAAGTTCTCCCTCTATTTTTGCACGGTTTGACTGCGTTAGTTAAAATGCTTTTTTGTCATGGATAAAAGTATGTACCCTTTAAAGAGATGTTTAGTGGCGGTATATGAAAAAGAGACAGAAAACCTCTTTTCGTAATCAAAACGTACATGGACTGATCTAATTTAGCAGAAAATACACCGCACCTGGGCATGGGACATTATCATTGCAAACTTGATCCTCGCTTGAATCTCCTTCGCATTTTTTGCCACCATACAGTGGAGCAGGGTCATCGCACGTTCGTTTCCTTGATTGCTTTCCCTGTTTACACGTCTTCGTACAGGTGCTCCAAGCACTCCATTTTCCCCAATTACCGTCAACTGAACAAGTAATTGATAACATTTATTTCGTCGAGATTCAATTAGAAATTGTTTTCATTCACTGTTTATGTCGTTACAAAAGATTAACATGTAAAAGGAGTTGTTAAATATTACAAACTTTAATGCACCCTTCATCTACAAAAGCCAAGGAGGGACTTCAGACTTAAGACTTCAGACTTCAAAACTCATACTTCAGACTCAGTTTTGACTGGCTGTGTAAGTTCCTCCAGCAGCTATGTTTTGGTACGCTTTAAATTGTTGTCCAAAGTGATGCCCATTTCATTTGTCGGGAACGATCGCCGACCATCGCCGAAATCTGGGACGCATCGGGAAATATAAACGCTCCCGATTCTCCATATTGGTCCCCGATCATTTCAGATCATCGGGATATCTAATCGTTTTTTAAGCTCTTTCAATAAACTAAAAGGTGGATTCAGCTAGGCGTCACTTTGGACAACAATCTAAAACGTATCAAAACATAACTGCGTGAGGAACAGCAACATGCCATAATTGGGTCTGAAATCAAAAATCAGAAATTCGGAGTTCAAACTTTGTACGTCTGAAGTCTGAAGTCCCTCCTCGGCTTTCGTATTCACCAACCGCAAGCAAGTTATATGTATCTAAATACCTGGACAGGGGACATTTTCGTTGCAGACCTGGTATTCGCTCGAGTCTCCGTCACATGTCTTACCACCATATTTTGGAGCTGGTGAGTTACATTCTCGTTTTCTCGACTGCTTTCCGTGTTTACAGGACTTAGTGCATGCGCTCCACTCGCTCCATTCTCCCCAGTTGCCATTAACTATAAAAACAAATAAATCCATAGTTTGTCATTATTGTTGTTTGTTGTTGTTGTTGTTGTTTTTTGCTCTGTCAGGCAGTGTTTTGCCGAGATTTGAAACTGGAAGTGCTGCCATTACCGGGGATAATGAGTTAAAAGATGATACGTCAGTTCCATAAACTTTGAATTTTGGATTACCTGGACAGTTGATATTTTCGTTACAAACTTTAGTTTGACTGGAGTAGCCATCGCATTTCTCCCCGCCATACTTTGGAGCTGGTGAATCGCATTTACGGCTTCTGGTGTGTCTGCCCTGCTTACAGGTCTTAGTGCATGTGCTCCATTGACTCCATTCCCCCCAGTTTCCATTAACTAAATGAATAATAAAGCAATTCAATTTATTCTATTCTATTTTCGCCGAATTATATCATTCTATTTATCAGTTAGAAAGCTCACTCTCTTCCTTAGAAACCTTCCGAGTAGTTGCTGTCGAATCGAAGAGTAAGCCTTCTAACTGATTCCGTAATGCCCCTCTTCCATTGTATATACAGGTAAAATAGTTACTTTTTGCTGTTTGCCACAATGACTTAAGTTAAGGAAATCGGTCAGTATTTATCCTAGATCTGCTCCTGGATAAGAAGAGTATCATTTCGAACAGGAGAGCGCATTTTTTTTTTCTTAATTCAGCAATGCTAACCTGGACACGGCACTCTTTCGTTGCAAGATTGGGTTTCAGAAGGTTGTCCAACGCATTTCTTTCCGCCATGTTTTGAAGCTGGCGAGTTGCATTCTCGTTTTCGATATTGTTTCCCATATTTGCATGTCTTTGTGCAAGTGCTCCACTGGCTCCATTCTCCCCAGTTTCCATCAACTGGGAAAAAAAAAATGAAAAAAGTATATACTGGAATGCCCACGACTTTCTAAAATGCTTTAGGTGAATGTAGGTTTCCATACGCTTACATATTGATGATCTTTGTTTTTTTGTTTGTTTGTTTGCTTGTATGTCTATTTGTTTTGTTTTTGTTTTGTTTTGTTTTTGTTTTTTTGGAATTATATATTTATTCATTTATTCTTCTATTTAGTTATTTTTTACCATTTATTGTACTTTTGAGGTTTTGACTCTCTTGGTCTAGGAGTATGTGACTTCTCAGTAAATTGCCTGGTCTCATGATCAGTTGTTCATTATGACCAAAAAGATGTGTTATCCATGGGGTGATAAAATTACTGGTAATCCAGTATTTTTCATTATGGCCCACGAGAATCCCAACTGACCGGAGGCAAACCTGTTGGCTATTTACAAGTGTGTCTTAGGAATTGAACACGGAACTACCGACAACATGCAAATCCAGTCAGCGGTTAAGGCAGGGTTGAACTAGAGGCCTTTAATTCTAGCGCTCTAACCGCTTAGCCATCCTGCCTCCTTTTTCCGAGATTTAGGGGAATATATTGACTGTACCATATAGTCTAGTACGTATAGACTCACCGGGGCATGGGACTCTCTGGTTACAAGCTTGGGTTTCGGAAGGCTGTCCATCACATTTCTTGCCACCATACTGTGCAGCTGGTGAGTCGCATTCTCGTTTTCTTGACTGTGTCCCCCGATTACAAGTCTTGGTACAAGTGCTCCAATTACTCCATTCTCCCCAGTTTCCGTTGACTGAAAAAAAAAAAATAAATATCAAAGGTCTCATAGTATTCTACAGAGTCAAGGAGAAATTTAGCTATAAAAAAATAAAACATCTCCTTACGTAACTAGTCACGTGATGGATACCATTTACAGCTAGAGTTGTCATGAACAAAACTATTTGTTCACCAGTCTCAGCGCTGTGTATAGTATGTAACTGACACGCTGAAGAAAAAAACAACTTGAAATACCTGGACAAGGAACATTTTTGTTGCAAGCTTGATGTTCACTTGGGCCTCCTTGGCATTTCTTGCCACCGTATTGAGCAGCTGGCGAGTTGCATTCTCGTTTCCTTGACTGCCTTCCTTGCTTGCATGTCTTGCTACAAGTGCTCCATTTACTCCACTCACCCCAATTTCCATCAACTAAAAGGGCAATAGGATTATTTAAGCTTAAACTAACACTCTCTTGGAAATGAAAACTAGGAAGTACCAGTTGAAAAGTTTTTGAACGGTAAAGTAGTACTTTTGATAATTTTATATAGTTGTGTTAATCTGTAAGTAATTTAATGCCTACTTTTTATTACCTGCACAGGTTCCACATGTCTTTTGGCACTTAAATGACTTGAAAGAGAGATATTTACAGAGCCCTTTGCTTTTGTAGTCCTGGCATTTTTTTGTGCCGAATCGGTCATTATCTGGTCCTGCAAAACAGATCAAAAGAGGTTTAAGGAAAAGCTAACAACGAATAAATCCCTCAGGTACAGTTATAGGGGCTTTGTTACGCTATTTCCGTACGTATCTGTGGTTATTACACACCTAACATGTACAGGGAATGTAATTTTCTTCAAGAACTATTTATTTATAAGTAGTATTAATCAGTAATAAAATCTTACCTTTACAGCCTGTACAGGTTTTTCGACAATTGTGTGTGTGAGTTGAACACTTTCCTTTTTCCTTGATCTTATAGCAGAAATCACATTTGTAAAGGTCCAAGCATTCTGTATAAAATAATGCCATTACGAACTTTAAGCGACTTCGTGAAATTTAAAATTCATTGAAAGTTTAAAAGGCATTCGGTAAATAATCGCACACTGTATACGGTCGGCAACTCTATCACTTCCGTATCGCGCACATGACGATAAGATCAACAGTCTTTCCGTGTGCAACCTTTTTCAAATGCTGGCAATTTAAGTTTACTTATTGTTTGTTCGTTTTTCTTCTTCTTCTTCTTCTTCTTTTTTTTCTTCTTCTTCTTCTTCTTCTTCATCTTTTTCTTCTCATAACGAGTCGTCAATAATTCAATTTAAGTTTTCATTTCTTTTTTTATGTTCGCAGATAACATCGAGGCAAAGAGAGCTATATGTCGCCAACATTATCATGATAATTTAAGTTATATATTACAACTTACGGTTGAAATAGCCAGATGAGTCGGAAGAGGTGCCTTAAATAGATAAAAAAAAAATTTTAAATGGTTAAAATGTAAAATTAACGTAAAGTGTTGAATGTTTGAAAGACATTTTGGTCCTTCAACGAAATTATAAATATACAGACTCGGTGTAGTTACCATCATTGTCTATTTCCGTCAGCATCATCAACTCGTGGTCAGTGGAGTCATCTATGTAAAAGCAAATATCAAATAGCTCTCGTTTGATATATTAAAATTCTAACATGGCTCCGAGGCTTTAAGGTCAAAATTGCATTTTTTTTTTTTCATTCCATTGTCTCGAAATTCTCAGAAGAGATTTGAGCGCAAAGAAAATCAAACCAAATAAGTAAAATGACCCGAAAGCCTCGTAGTCATGTTAGAATTTTTATACATGTATATCGAACGTGGGTTATTAATATAGGTATATGTAAGACTGAAAAAAAAAATGTAACCAAGTCCCCGACAGATTACATACTGTTGCACAAACGTGACGACCAAATAATTTCGTGCTCCTTTGCGCCCAATTATAAATAAAAAGGGGAAACACTAAACGATTAGAAATAAAATCGTGGGCGGGAGAGCATCCTAGGTTCCAATAATTTATTGACTTTCTTTGGTCTTTTCAAATCTTTTCGTTATAAAGGACAGGAGAACGGCAGACACGAAACTGGGACAAACTATATCTTACCGTTTTTAGCATCTTCGGAAAATGGCCAGAATGCAGCAGATGATCGAAACGCTAACACAATAAGAAGCATATGGCGAAGCCACATTTTTAATCCAGGGTGAGATGCCTGTAACTAGTCTTGAAGGTTAGACGTGCGAGGAATCCACCTATACGTAATATCTAAGCTAGCTTTTATACTTGTCCACCTTTTGAAGTAGTGGCGTCCATTGTAGCTAGTATGAAAAGGATTGCGAAGAACTTGAGGTGAATAACAAAAGATTTGTAGGACACAAATTAAATTTGACCATCTCTCTTGATGCCTTTCTTGTTTGAATTTCTTTAGCTAAAGAAAAGAAAAGTTCAAAATATAATATCGAAAGGTCTCTGTTAGCTCCCTTTGAAAGAATTGAAGTTTCGAGGGTCTCATGTATGGTTTCCAACTAAATTTTTGAATCCTCGCCAAGTTCCCGATATAAAATGATTATTCAAAGAGAATGGTTGTCTCTTCAGTCCTAAGAACGGCTATTTTATTTTCGTGTAATTCACTTTATCCACACCACTACACAGCCGTTTTTATAAATCAATAATTTGGCACTACAAAGAATCGGAGAAAAGAAACTGCAGAGTCACTTAAACCTCCTTCAAACCTTTATATAGCATCACCAGCATTACTTGGGTAACGTAGTAAGGGGTAATGGAGCAACGGGGGCTACAAGTAACTCCTTTAAGTCATCCTTAAAGTTTTCCTTGTTTAAAATAGTATTTGCTCGAATTTCTCTCAGCTAAGTTGGGATAGAAGGTAAAGACAAAAAAAAGTTTGTCGAGGCCACTGACTTCACTAAGGTTCCCTATCCTGAGTTCTAGTAAGCTAAGGGAAACGAACTGCCACCTTATAAATTTCAAGTGCATATTACAATGCCAATCAAGGAAATGACCTAATTGAAAATCCCTCCTCTTAGCTATTGTATACTAGGGTAAAGATAACTGCCCATCGATATAATTTCACGGAAAGCCAAAGAGTATCGGTCAGGCCAATTAAAAGCTCTTGTATACTGTCTGTTGATAAAACTTCAACCACTTTTAATTCATTGCTGGTGTATTACGAAACTTATCAACAGTTAACTGAGGAAAATGAATTCTCTACGAAGGCCCTTACCCTAGCGGCGAATAAAACTACCCGAGACATCTAGAATATAATGTTTATTTTTTTGGCAATATTGATTGGAGTTATTACCCTTGAAAGTAAAAAAAATCACACGGATTGCACATATCTGGAGACCCGACATAAAGCTTTTTCGACTCCATCAAGGAATTACTGTAAATTAATTACTGTCATCAGTTTTTATTCATGTTTTACTTTAGGGAAGGTCTTAGTTACTAACGTGAAATTTGAAGAAAAACGCCACGGAATAGACTATCAATTTAATGAATCGAATATTATGATTGCGATATAACGCTCTGATACTGGTCAACCATTTTCAAAATGTCATTAAGTAGAACAACTCCTTTGTTTCGAAAGCATTAAAAAAGGCTTTTCCACGGCGTAAATACCACTGAAGTTCTTAAGTGAATTAGGTTGTCAGAGCAATGGAGGTGGGACAAGTGGCCTTTATTTCATTTTTTATCATCAGCTCTTCTTTTTTCGTCTCGACAAAAGGCGCTGAAGAAGGTGATTATTTAAAGTGTATAACTATCGTTTTAGCTTTCTGGTGATTACAGAAGGGATACTTCATGTGCACAATAAGTACGTGTTAAAAGAGTAATACATGAAATTCAAAGAAAAAAGACATTTTTCTATGCTATGCACTTAGTAAAGTACGTATATGTATAAACAGTGCTAAAAATTCAGACTTCATAGTCGTTATGATACATTTTAAAAAAAAATAAAGAAAGGAGACGAGATTTGAGAAATTATAATTACAAGAGAAATCCTAATATCAAGATCTCCTGTGTGCAATGTTTAATACTTCAATTTCTTTTCCTTCTTCCCTGAGTTGTCACATTAAAACTCATTTTTCTATATTAACGTTCGTTTAAATGTGGGCTAATTTTAACACAACGAGGCCTCTACACCAGTTTGGGAATGCCATGCGTAGCAGACTGGGATAATTTCCTTTTCTTTTCTTCTTTAGATCCTGCCAAGGCACTAGAACATCTGTTTGGTAAGTCATCAATTATGTTGTACATTTTATAGAGTTGTTGAGGTCATCAGGGAAGTAAAAGTATCGTGACTGAATGAGTTTTGAGGTACTATCATAAATGTTGGGAAATGCTTACTTTACCGAGAACCTTCGAATCAACAAGTGGCAATGCAACCGATCGATTCATCTATTGACACACTTCCCTAGCATACAAGGGAGGCGCGAGAACTATAAAAAGCGAACGAACGCTATGCAGGGAGAGGGAAAACGCGCATTTGCGTCTGCATGAAAATTTCCAAGCGCTTACGAGGAGGAGCTGAAACATTGATATAAGAACAAAAAAAAATCAATAAAAATATTTTGTAATAGAAGAAAGAGATTTGTACAAACTAAAACTTATGAGAAAACGGTACGAAAAATTGCAGAAAATCTTCAAGACGATGAGGGGCCACACATAGAGGGGGGTAAGTGATAATTTAAATAGATTATAGCACAGGTATTTCAAGCTCGAAATATGAGCATCGGCGAACATCGGCATTGTTGTGTAATATTCGAAATCAAGAGCCATAATGGGACTTGTCGAAATATAAGGATTTGTATCGGGAAAAGACATATCGTTTCTGTAACCTACAAAAATGAAAGGATTTCAATTAAAAAAACTGCTCACCTTACGTAAAATGTGTGTTACGTCTCTCCCGTGTGGTCCACGGGTCGATTTATGGCCGTTTTATGGGTTTTTATGTAAACGGTTTTCTCTATATATAGAAGGTTTATATAGAGAGAAAATCGTTTACATAAAAACCCATAAAGCGGCCATAAATCGCCCCGTGGACAACACAGGAGAGACATGATACACATTTTAAGTAAGGTAAGCTGTTTTTTATTGAAATCCTTTCATTTTCGTAGGTTACAGAAACGATACTTTTTTTCCCCATACAAATCCTTATATTTCGAATGTTATGCAACAATGCCGATGTTCGCCGATGCTCATATTTCGAGCTTGGGCTACCTGTGATTATAGTAATAAATAACAATTATTTATCACAATTTAGGGCCAGGTTTTCTATAATTTAGTTACTTTCTACATTTAGGTAAGATGCAAATGCGCCACATTGACGGTCAACGTTAACTCTCCTGGTATAGTCGAAAAAGAGAAATTTGTAAAATCTCTTGACTTAATAACTGAAATCCTAATAAGTCCGTATATCAGATTGATGAAGACACAAGTACATGTGCGCCGGAAAGACAACAGTTTTCGCACTGTTACACTGTAGTGGAGCTACTGAATACCTTGAAAAGCTTTTCAAGCAACAATGCAATCATCCATACATGAGTAAAATTAATGAAGATATGACCATCGCATTAGTAATCACAACTTCAGCAATTGCAAATTATGCCCGGGAAGAATTTCAGGCTTTAAAAAGTACTCGAACCTATGGCCTCTTTGTTACAGAAGTAGTGCTACTGCCAACACCTTAGCTACGAAGACCCTATTTTATTGTGACTGGGAGCCGGTATATATATCTTTTTTATCACAACCGTACCCGTGAAAGGAAAGAAACAGAATGAAGAAGACAGCAACCTTATTTTATGTTTCATTTCTCTTTTAGTCTATATGAAGGTTAACCCAAGCATGGGCTTTTTTTTTTATTTCTTGTTTTTGTTGTTGTTGTTGTTGTTGCTTTTTTTTTAATCCTTTTTCCCTAAGTCAATGCCAATGATCCACTGAGTAGGTGAGAAATTAAATATCATGGCGTATTTCATAAGTTATACAGTCACTTATTGCAGCAACCGAAAGTTTTTTCTCTTGTACAAATCACGTTATTTTTGGCTGTTTTGATGTTAGATTATTATCCTTGTCATAGGACACTAACATGAGTGCTTTGTCGTAGGCTGCAATGACGTATATATCAACTGGTGTCGCAGGTATTCTTTGAGATGTTCTCACCCAATTGTATACAACTACTGTCCAAGAACCTGTCACCGATGCACTGGTAAATACCTTAACAGCTCAAATCGTTCCGGTCTTAATTGGTCTGTATTTGCCAGTCATTACATCGAACAGCAGTCTTGGCCAAGAAACCGCCCGATACTAAGGGTGCGCACTTCAAGCTTGAATATTCTGAAATGTATTAGAGAAGCACAAAGATACTATCTCATATCTGTCCGTGTTATTATAACTGCATCTTAAGAACACTATTCCCAGCTCCCTTACACGTGAACGAACAAAACATTATTTTTGGATTTTTCCAATTAACCCAATACCTCTCAGTGTTCTGTTAAATGGTCCTTAAGGTGATGTTTATACTATTTAAGGGTTCTGATGAGGTATATTGAGACCCTCGCACTTGATATGTCAACTGTAACTTGAGTCTAATGTGTTATTCTAGGCGCTAACGGGTGGAGCTCCTGGACAGCTTATAGCCGATGCTCTAAGACATGCTACTATGGGTTACAAACCAGATCAAGAAAATGTTCTAGTGCTTCATCTTCAGCTTGTCCGGGGTCTTCAATGGAAAGTCGTAGATGCAACGAGCGCGTGAGCTGCTTAAGTAAGAATCTGGATAATATGACAACATTTAAAGGTCAAACCTGAGATATTAGTATACTTGCTTGAAAGCCGGTAAATGCTTACGTAGGTTTTAGCTTTTATCATATCTAAGGGTTGAGCTCACAAAACGGGGTAGTAGCCACATTATTTTATTTATTTTTATCTTATTTTATTTTGTTGTCATTTTTGTACCAAAAAAATGTCAAAGATATTTTTTTCTTTCTTAAAGATAAATAGATAATTGAGGTAAGCACTAGACAATGATAGCGTGTAATGAAGACTTGTAACTTCAAACGAAAACAATAGTTGCCAAGGCTGCATTGTTCTGATAACTGGAATTTTTGCAAGTTAGAAGCTGGGTATTTTATAATTGTATATATACTACAGGTAATAAAATTAAATTATGTCTCGTTACGATAACAACGGACCTGCTACCGAATATTACCGAGATTAATATCTAAGAATTACGTAAATGAATACTGAACAATGGATATTCTGGCTTGTTACCATATCGCGAAAAAGTAAGACAGAAAGAAAAGAGACAAAACTGTAGGGGATGATATAATATCTGAGCAACAGTCTTCTACAATGAAAGTCCATTGTCCATGAGCTACAGTTACATGTTCCTAGACGAAAAATATCTTTAAGTTTCGTTTAACCCTGACAGAAAACCTTTCCAGCCCCCTGGCCGGTATGGTAGATCCACATCATGTCTTTTATCTTGTTTTTAGAGGATAATGTGGGATCAAATTCTGCCCATGCCTCAATCCAAGGTGTATGGACACAGTGGGGATCATACTCCAAGTGCAGTAAATCTTGCGGATCAGGATTACAGTCAAGAGTTCGCAAGTGCATAAATCCTTCGAATCCCTCAGGACACGAACGATGCCCAGGACCTTTTAGACAACGTCGACCATGCAACCAAAACCCCTGTCCAGGTACAGATTTTCGTTTAATCTCTTCAAAATCTACACACACAAATAAACAAACATAGGATAGAAAAGTAAGTCTGTCTTGTCAGTGTGACAATTAAGGAGTGACAGCATCTAACTCGTTTACCCCCTCGATATTGACAGATGAGGAACCAGATACGGTCCACTACTGCTTGTATTAGCCCCCCACCCTTGCTTCTGCCCCCCCCCCCCCCCCCCTTCCCGTTACAGGCCCTCCTGCCTGCAAACAAAAAATAACATCCGAATACAAAACCCTCGGATATAAGCCCTGTCCCCTCTCCAAATGTATTGAAATGAAATCGATTCCATATTCCATATTCCATCAGCATCACTACAGCTTGATTCGAAGAACTTTTTTATTCCGGTAATAAACTCTCTCGGATATAAACCCTTCCGGTGATAATCCCTCCTAAAACCTCTAACGAAGATATATATTTTTTGCTAGGGATACATTATAAACAGGGGTTTGAGGTACATGACTAAGTAGGCGATATTGTAACCAAATAAGTAATTGAGCTCTCATTCATCCAGTCATTTAAGTTTTATACGATGGCTTAGAGAGATGTGTCCATTATATTAGTTGATGGTGGGTGGACTTCTTGGGGACGTTTTCGCCAGTGCAGCAAAACTTGTGGAGGAGGAAAGCAGTACAAACAGAGATTTTGCAAGAACCCTTCCCCTAAAGGTGGAGGAAAAGTTTGTCAAGGCCCTAATAAGTTTTATCGTAAATGCAACAGGCAGCCATGTGCAGGTAACTATTGTACCCTGATGTTAACCCTATTCAGACCAGAGAGTGGCTTTTGAAGGCCCCCTAGCCTGAATAACTTCAAAGTCACTCAAGCCATGACCAACAAATGTTTAAATAACTTTTACTTTATATCTAGGACATTTTAAAGGCGTCGTGGCGAGTACGGCAATACTGACGTAACCATGGCAACCTGTCACATCACAGGGTTTTATTTCTATTTTTGCTTCTGAATTACATTTAGATAAGAATTATTTTATCAAATTTGTTGTAACTGCTGATGTAATCCAGGCTTTTATGTAACAGATATTTTCCGCAAGGTTGTGAAAATAAAAGGCACCAACACAAGGCCTTTGATGTGCAGAATGCAGCCATTTGTATGATAATCTACTCCCGGGGGATCGATCTCGGTTTTGTAAACAATGTGTGCTTCATTGAGCTGTGGAGACTGCTGCTAAGTTAATAATTTACCCTTGATTCGATCCTCAGTTCACGGTAACTGGTCTCCATGGAGCGTATTTGGAATATGTAGCAGAACTTGTGGAGGAGGTATTAAATACAGAAGCAGATTTTGCAACAATCCTGCTCCTTCAAGCGGTGGAAACACATGTTCGGGGCCATCTCGTCAATCAATTGCCTGCAACACGCGGACATGTTCAGGTTAAAAGCATTCTCAGTTAATTTTAAAGGATGGTTGATTTCAAACCCTCTATAATTCGAGCATGGAATTAGAAAACTTATTAAGAAAATTAGTACCGAAAATTCTAGAAAATACAATAAGGCGCTCTCAAACTTTTATTTTGAATTTCTAGAATATTTAAACATTGTATATTACACTTTCAGTAATGTTAAATCAGATGAACAGTGCGTCTTTTTTTCTCTTTTAAACTTAAGGTTGCTCGATCCAGTCTTTCAGGGTCAACACCTCCTAAATTTGAGCATAATATAAACTACGTCTCCATAAACAAAGATTTGGAAAAATTGCCACCACAGTTCTGTTAGACAGAGATGAAAATTTGTTATGACCAGGGTTGCAATGACATCGGAGTTGTCATAGCAACTAAATGACGCCATTACCTATTTTACTTGCAACAGTATTTCTCGTCACTGGGAAGTGTTCTGACTTCCAAAATCGTTCACGGGAGCTTTTTCCTCCAATAACCGCCTCAATGTTCGTGAAGTTTAAGCAAAATCTGTAAGAGCGTTATCGAGATATTTCGGGATGAAATTTTTATGGTTCGAAATGCGGTAAAAAATGTTCAATGTCATTGCAACCCCGATCATAACAATTTTTCAACTTTACCTAATATAATTGTGGCGGTAATTTTTCCAAAACTTTGTTTTTGGCGACGTAGTTTATGCTCAAACTTGGTAGGTATGGAGCCTGAAAAACTATATCGAGCAAAGTTAATTCTCGCTTAGTGATTGATGAATTCTAAGACTGTACAACAATCTCGTGTTTGGCAAATATTGATAGCGATTTAATGGTAGCACATCCTTAAAGTGGTTCTTTCTCTTCACACGAGGGGGTTTTCGTGAATTTTGGGAGCTATATAATTTTATTATAATTTCAGTGTTCATCGGTTTTATAAATGAGTAGGATAGTTATACTATGGTACATGTGATTTATGGATACATTATGAATAAACCAAGGTCGGTACTCTTACTACTCCATCACCCCAGCTGATGATTACGTTAACGAAAATATCATTAACTTTTTTTTTTTTATCTGCAACCTATTTATTTCCTTATTTGCTCCTTCTAATTACATTCGTAATAGTTGATGGTCACTGGTCGCCCTGGGGAGCTTTTGGAGACTGTAGCAAATCTTGCGGTGGAGGCAAGCAACGTCGAAGCAGAACTTGCACCAATCCAGCACCGTCTGGCGGTGGAAATACTTGTCTAGGGCCTTCATATCAGTCAATTGCATGTAACCCAAAGACCTGTCCAGGTGAACCATACATTTCGTCTATTTATCTCTCCTATTGCTACATTTCTTCGGTTTTATAATGAAACAAATGACGTCGATGAAACTTAGGGCGCTTTCCAAAAGTCAGAACTGGACGGCCGGACCATTGCCGGACCGATCATTTTGAAAATGAAATAGGCTTTTTTCCAAAGAGGTTTTGCTGAAAAACCATTTCCTTCTTGCATACCATCTAGGATCTGACTGATCTAGCTGGACAGTTTTGATTAAAAGTAAATTCTCATTACGACGGAAATGACTTGACAGGTCAGTTCTGACAAATGGAAAGCGCCCTTAGAGTCAGTATCACTTATATTGGCTGTATATTTTTTGCACTCACCACAGTAAGTTTTTCCGCATGATGCTTCAATCAGAAGACAGTGACACCAGGTTCTTATAGTTATATTCACAATGTAATGATACAATGTTATTAATGTCGCTCTTTATTATTATTATTTTTTTAAAATATGGTGATTCTTCCGTTTGGAAGATCAAGTTTTCGTCCTTATTAATCAAGGCATCAATGTGTGCTGTCAGTTTGTTTCCATCATGCTTTTTTTTCTTCCTTTACTTTTAGTTCATGGTCACTGGTCGGCTTGGGGATCGTTTGGACCTTGTAGTAGGAGTTGTGGAAGTGGCAAGCAGTATCGAAGAAGAGCCTGCAATAACCCAGCGCCTTCCAGTGGTGGACGTACTTGCAATGGACCATCTCACCAATCAAAAGCTTGTAATATACACGTCTGCGCAGGTAGATACTACAGCGGCATCCAGTTACCAGGATGGAGTGAATTTAATGTTTGTTTTTGTTGATCCTGGGAAATAACATCCAAGTGCAAAGTGGCTAGTTATTGTAGATTTTTGTTATAATCTCAATGTTCAACGGTTTTATAAATGAGTAGGTTAGTTAAGCTGTGGTACATATGGTTTATGGATACATTTTGAATAAACCAAGGTCGGTGCTCTTCCCACTCCGCCACCCTTACTACCTCATCTGATGATTACTTTAACGAAGATATCAGTCACGTTTTTCAAATATAGAGCTTCTTCCGTTTGGAAGATCAAGTTTTCGTCCTTATTAATCAAGGCATCAATGCGTGCTGTCAGCTTGTTTCAAGCATTTTTTTTTACTTTACTTTTAGTTAACGGTCACTGGTCAGCTTGGGGATCGTTTGGACCTTGTAGTAGGAGTTGCGGAAGTGGCAAGCAGTATCGAAGGAGGGCCTGCAATAACCCAGCGCCTTCCAGTGGTGGACGTACTTGCAATGGACCATCTCACCAATCAAAAGCTTGTAATATACACGTCTGTGCAGGTAGATACCACAGCAGCATCAAGTTATTAGATGGAATGAATATCTGCTTTTGTTGAAGCTTTAGCTGTCTCTCACTGCCAAACCAAACCTGTAACGCAACTGGAAGGACTGAGGAAATCCCACAATAGCTAGTGGTAACCGGTCGTTTTCTGCAGGATTTACGCCCAATTGTAAGCAAAAATAATTCAAAATGGAGACAAGCGTTATGATGGTAAGGATAAGTATCTTGCACCAGTAATTCGCGGAAAACACGATCCGAATGAGATTAGAGTATGCGTTTACAAATTCAGCACAACTGCTTCTACAGGTATATCTGGCTGTCAGTATGCCAAAGCATCTTAGATAAGTGCTGCAAAGAAACCTCTGAGCTAGTAATACGCACTTGTTCAAACATACATTGCATTCACAAAGTACAAGAGGAGTTGGGAGCTTTTAGATAAATTTAAAAGAAGTTATATAGAATTCAGAAACGCTTATTAGTCTCCTATTTAGTTTTAATGTACTCCTCTTAGTTGACGGTCACTGGTCTTCGTGGAGTTCATTTGGACCATGCAGCAAAACATGCGGTGGGGGAACTCAATACCGGAGTAGAGCTTGTGATAAACCAGCACCGTCTCCCAATGGTAAAACTTGTCCTGGACAATCTCAGCAATCGAAAGCTTGTAATACACATTCGTGTCCAGGTAAGTAATTAGGGACTTTAATTACACGGTGATCCCTAGTTGTTTCTATATTTCAAACCACCCTTGGATACCTTGTATTGCCTACACAAAGTAATTTCAAATATGCTAGTACTAACCAAAGGTTACAGAGTATGGGCGACAGCGATCGAAGGTCAAAACGCTTTTGCTCCAGCGCTGTCCTTTGCGTAAGTTTCACGTGACAACTAGTCAAAACACGCATGATCAAATTGCGTTATGTGCATTCCATGTCGTAGTGGAAGTCCAAACCTGAATGCTGGCTACATACATGCGGCGAATGCGTAATAACAACCTGGAGGTTAGGATTGCGGACTCATTAATTTTGTCGCCCGCTTTGAATGAGCACTGGTATTGGTGGTTAGGGTTAAGCAATTAAAGTAGTAATTAGGGTTAAGCAATGACTCGTGACAGATAGCTTCTATTTAGGGTTAGGGTTTTCGCTATATGATATTAAACCCTCTCTCTGCAGGGAATCCTCGTTGGTCCAGTAGTATGGTTCAGTTGATTGATATCCTTTTATGTTATTTGTCGTATTTATCTATTTATTTCTCTTTTACAGGCTGTAAAGATTTTCAGAACTACAGGTTCTGTAGCTATGTTGCCATGAGCTATCGATGTGGACAGTATTATGTATATTGCAGGAAAACCTGTAATGCATGTATGTACAAAAATATACAAATTATATGAAAATCTGCAAGAAGATCAGATTAGTAGCCTTGCTCTTTTCTTGGCTCTAAGCTCTGTCTGCACTATATCGTATTGCGTTTTAGCTCCGTGCAGAAACCACTCCAAAATCAATAAGAGGCCCTATCCGATATGGTGTTTGTGCTGGTTACAGACTATAGTGTACACAAAGCTTTAAGCTGAGTAGAGAGAAACCTTCTAATCGTTTGGTGCGAGTTCTCCCTGTCAACCAACTCAATTCATTAGGTTTCTCTCCTCGCGCATTTGCGAAAACAGGCGGTCTTGCTGTCAAAACGAAAGCAAATGCGATCAGTTACGGCAGATTATTAACAAAACTAAAGCATGGGTTTACTTTGGGATCTTGAAATGGTAACATAAGGGTTCTTTTTAGCAGGTTAAAATACGACATGAGAAAAGTACTCGTCTGAATTGAATGAGCTTCATATAGTCATAACTGCCTGTGATGTTTATTTTCACCTTACCTTCCAGGTCATTACCGGATAAAGGCTTATTAGGATTCCCTAGGGCTGAAATTTCTTTACGAAGGTAATTGTGAAGAAATAGTTGCTCTAGAATGCATTTTAACCAAAATAAAGTATAGGTGGAAAATTATCAATAAATAAATAAACGATTAAAAAGATTATGTAGAGAAAGATCATTTAAACAACGATTTACAAATTATTTGGCTGTCCCACGTTTGAAACCTCGAAAAAGCTAGTTAAAATGACAATTTTGTCATTTTGAAAAAGACGACTGTTTCAAACTAATAATTCTAATTACCTACTTATTTTTATTTGCAGAAAATCTCCACGTATTGCTTTAAACTGAAACATTGGGAAATATTGGTAATGCTATTAAGAGCATAAGGACAATTAGCCTGCGAAAACAGCTGTTTCTCCTTGCTCTTCGCTGCTGAGGACGTTTCGCGAGGAATAAAGTCTGCTACTCAGCGATCGACAGAAATTCCATAGTGATGCCGTAAAATCTGTCCGGAATCCGATCAGAAGCGCTGATTGGTCGACGGAGTAGTTACATTGTTTTAGCTATTGTTTATGAATGACAGACAAAAGACAGAAGGCTACGAAGGTCACATGTAAATGTGATGGATCTCGAACAGTAAAATTCTAGTTTAAAGTTCTGTAATTGATATTAAAAAGATGGATGTGATCTTTTTTTGTAATAATTGTAACTGGCGACTAGGGGCAATTTGCGTAGGGGGCTTCACACTTTTCACACGTTCACACAGATTATTGGAGATCAATAAATATGTTTTTTGCAGCTTATTTACTGGAAAATACAATTTTGGTGTTGTCCCGGTGTTGAGCATTTGCACCCTATTTTTAAGCCCCACCGTGAGATTTTTGTATGAACGCCAGGCCCCATCATGGGGCATTTGCAGCTCAGTTTCTAAAACAAAATGACAAAATCGTTAGCTCGAAAGCTAAGCTCCTCTGACCATCGTACACTTCTGTCCAATCCATTAATTTTCTTTTTTCCTTCTTCTTCTTCTTTATTAGTGTATCCCTATCTTACTATATATAATGTAAATATAGTATAAAAGTGTGAATAAAATTGAATAGACCTTTCCCGCATTACGCTCCAGTGAGCAAACACAAAGAAATGAGGATGAGGCTTGGGTGGACAGTTTCATACAAATCACTGTATTTTGTCCACCCGAGCCTCGAGTTGGTGCCATTGTTTACAGGAATGCGAGAAAGGTCTATTGTATTGAAATGCCCAACAAATGCCCGGGGGGATGGGCACTCTTGGAGTTGACTGAGCCATAATGCCGAGCCCAAGCACTTGCTTTTCGGTCGACGACGGAATTCTAGATTGATGACGGCTGGCTAAACAAACGAAAGTTAACGTCCAACTCTCTTCGAAGAAACTTTTCTTTTCTCACCACGTCCACCACTTCTACTGCTGCAACTACGTCCGCTGAAAAAAGGCACGCGTTCACTAAGAGCAGCTGCACAAAGGGCACGGAGGCAATGACGATCCTGATCGTAGTTACACCAAGACGTACAAGCTCGACATCGGACAACTCTCTTTGATGTATTTTTAGGCTCAATTCTTTCGGCAGCAAATTTCGGAATAAGAGACTCGATTTTGAGGTCCTTCACAAGCTAATCGAAATGTGATGGTTGCCTGCTCCCACCATCTTTGACAAGATCTCGAAAACTGTGAGGATTATTGCAAAAGCTCGCTTTTATCTATCATCCAAATCATCCCTACCTAAAATACTGTAATGTTGCCTGATCCTCCACCTACTGCTGTAACCTTATAACTGTATTTACCTTTTGCAAAAGTACATAGTGCGGCTTGTACCAACAAAAGCTGACTATCTAGCAAAAAGCGCCCCATTATTTAGCAAACTTAAAGTCCTTGACATATATAGCATTAATTCTTTTTCTGTTGTTACGTACATTTATGTATTCCTATCACCGTAATCTTTTGCCCTAGTTGCTTTCGTAACCTCGAGTAACCAGGTTTACCATTATGAAACTCGACTAGCCTCTCAGTATAGACCTCATTTTTGTAGAACTGATATTAGGCAGTTCAGTATTCTTTATCGAGGGCTATTAAATCTGGAATTCTTTGCCAGTTACAGCAACCAGCTCCTCTTCCATATTTGGTTTTTAAAAAAAATCTGAAAAATGATCTCATTGATAGCCGTTCTGTCGCTTAAGTTTTATGTTTTCTACATGCCCACTCTGCAATCAAGTAAGCCTTTGTAATATAGCTTAAGGAATTAAGCCTATTAATATAAGCTCCCAGCTTCTTTAGGCTTCCTTGTTACTACAACTTATATTTTAATTAATACGTCTTGTAACGTTTTATTTTTATGTCATGTGAGTGACTAAAAAACAAATAAATGAAATATATCAAATCTTTGATGGCAAATATGTGCATCAGCAATTGTTCTTAATTATACACATGTACAGCAGCGACGATAAACAAACATAACCATTTTGCTTACCTTTTGGCTGCCTTAACATCGGGTTTAATAGAACGTAGGCTAAAAGCAGATATCTGGACACGAACACACAAAAGAGATACTTCTATAAGGATCAACAGCGAAACGAACTCAAACAAAGCGAAATTCCGAAAGGCTCGGGAAATTATTAGGATTTGGACAAAACGCAAGTGAAATTATTCCCTAATTTCACGAGTATACCATTTGATTACCTATTAATATCATGGGTGACGAATTACGTTTAGCAATCTTAGATTTTTGACATGCTTATCCTGGATCGTATCGATCGAGAACTCCTCTCTCAAATGTTTAGACGTTAAATTTGGCTTATAAAGTTCAGAATTTTTCAGACTTTTTCGGCAAAATACCTGTTAAAATCCTTCTTGATGTTCTCTTGTGTGTTCAGGTTTTCTAAAGCGTCTTTTTGTGCCCTGACATCTTCATTGACGGCATTTTAAAACTTCGTCGCCATCTTGACACCGAGACGTACGGAAGGGTTGCCATGGCAATTTTGTAATTTCACATGTGAAATTACAAATTGACGCTGAAATTTCGCGCCAAAATTAAGGAGTAATTCGTCACCTATGATATTACAAATGTAACACTTCAGACAGATTGATCCTGTATTGTTTCTTAACGTGGTGGAAGTTTGGATTTGTCTTTGATGGTTGACTGCACGATCTCCAACTTCACGTGCCTGGCTTTTTTGCTTAAACGTGCTTGGAAAAAATGAGCCCCTGAGGAGCTCGAAAAAGGATTCCCGGCCTCAAACTGAAACTCGTCTTTGTTTCAATTGAACGCCGGAAAACTGCAGCGCATTCTATTGCCGGCAACTATTTCCTGTCCGCTCTGATTGGCTCAGCCTCGTCAAGTACCAAGGTTGATCGGCCTTTAAGCTCGCCGGTTATTATCTTGTACAATTCACTACCATACCACTTCGGCGAATCAGGTTTATTGTTTTTAAAATTATTCCTGGCCGCGTCTTTAACATCCGATAGCGTGATGTCCCCTAATGATTCATTTTTCACAGTTGTGAATACCTTTGATTAAGAAAGAAGGACAAGGAGTGGTGTTAAATTGGGGAGGAGGTTGGGTCTCGAAGTGGAGCGCTTTTTTGAAAAGGGGCCGTAATTCGACCTATCAACGAGGCGTGCACAAATAACGTGGACGCTGCGTACTCAAAATTTTCATGTCCAGGCTACTCGAGAGGACAAGGGGAAAACAGCATGCTCAGTTTTTACACCACCATTTTTTATAATAGGGAAGATTTTCCCAGTTATTTTCACGTTTTCCAGATGAAGGTGAGCAAAGGCAACTAGAACAGGGGTG